GAAGGACAGCATCTCCTATCTAGCTGCGTATCTTTGAACCTCAAAGACACCCGCCACACGTACCACATCAGTCTAGCGTATACTATATTAGTATACTGGAGTTAAGGCCATCAGAGAGGGGCGGTAGAATAACGCATTCCTTCTTTTTTACACGCAACGCGCCAGCGAAACTACCACGATAAGATCGGAGAGGCTGCTATATATATATGCTTCGTTTCACCTTACGATATGCCTATCGCCAAGGCTACATACAATCCGCCATATCCAATCACGAGCTCTAGTTGGAAACCGCGTGGTATATTGTTCCGACAATACGTACGTCGACTGGCTCAGGATTGGACCTGGCGTTCCTTATAGCTTCGAGTGTGGTCCGATCGTGAGGAGCCGCGTGCAGCCGCACTGAGAATACTCACTGCGTCACGCTACATAATTGTGCACTGTTGTTAGACAAGGGGAACGCTCGATACTGCGACTGTCTTACTGGTAAAGGTGTATCCACACGACGGACCGGGCCGCGGACCGATTGATCACGTGATGCGCGGCCCGCGGGCCGCCCGGCTGCAATGAGCATCCACACCGCGGACCAAAAGAGCAGACGACAGAGTGAACGGGCCGGTCTAACCCTCGACCTCACAGCTCCGCCCAACGCATGCAACGAGCTGCCTTGAGGCTATTTGTAAAGAGCCAAGATGGAGGTTGAACGAAAGAGACTTTTGGCCGCGGTGGTCCTGGCGTTGAGTATTGAGGACCAGGAGGACTGAAGTGAACCGAAGAGGGCATGCATCTATTGTCTTACAGAGCGTGAAATTGCTCCACGAGCGCGATGAAGTAAAAAGTTGCAACGTCGCACCATGCCGCCATCGTCGCACAACAAAAGGTTCGTCTTCTTCGTCTTCAACAGTTGGCGCCAAAAGAACACGACTTTGGATTTGGATTCCAATCTAAACAACAAAAGTCAGCTTGTTGCCAGACTTAGCACTTAAATTATACTAAAAACGCCGCGGTCCGCCGCCAAGATCCGGGCGAGAAAAGTGCTTGGCATTTCTCACAAGCGCGGGCCGCGGACCGCCGGCGGACCTCGAAAAGCGGTGACGTAAGATCACGTGATGCGCGGCCCGCGGACCAAAACAGCGATTTGGTCCGTCGTGTGGATACACCTTAAGGGGACAACCGGCATGCGCGCACATTACAATATTGGTCCGCACTCGCCCCTCGTAAAATTTGGGGCCATCTGTTCGACTGTACGGCGCTGTACGTCGAATTGAAGTTTTGGGTGTATTATATAGGACAAAGTGTGTAACTATACATTCTTCTACACCCTTTTTTCTTAAGAGTGTGGGCACCTCATCCTCGCGGCTTTTGATGGCCGTTTTTTGCACCCTCAGAGGTGTAGTGCACTGCACTTACACCCACGGAATGTGTATGTACTATTCTCTGCGACTGTATATGTTCACATGCATATCTTCCTCCCTACTTTTTTGTGTGGGGTGTGCTTAAAACGGACGTCCACGTCCGACATACAAGTATACCTTCTTCGTTTCCACTGTCGTCACATTCTCGCCGTACCCTTGCAGATGCGAGAAATAATGTTCGGGGAACAGATTGCATTTACACTATGGAGCTAAACAGTCAGAACGAGACAAGAACAACTGAAGGCAACGTGCAACAAGACAGCGCCAAAGACGATAAAGATCACATAAGCAAGGACATCAGCAACAGTCACTGCTGACTGCCTGCTGTGCTGCCTTCGTGACGTCCGTTCTTCTGCTGTTTGCGCTCCAGCCAACCCAACATCCTTGAGCATCCCTTGTTCTCTCTATTCGTGCGAGTAGCAGATCAAGCTGCTCCCCCAAAGCTCTCTACTCTTTCCACTTTAGTGGAGGGAACGCTGGAGAGGGGGAAACCGGCAATCATGGCACGAGCAGAGAGCTTTGTGGGAAGGGCTTGTAGGGGTCGCCACTATCGGGCAAATGTGGCGGTCAAAAACAGGTCCTGTGGTGCCGTGCTCTGTGCCAGCTCAACGCACAACGCTCGGATTTCAGCAGGCGAGCGTTGAACTCCAAATGGTTCGCCCGATTCTGGCTATACGTTTCAAACCTGCGGCGATGTGTTGGCTTATGCGAGCTTTTAGGTGCTTGACCTTGTTCGGGGAAGCGATGGAAGGACTGCCTACGGGTCTGATGAACGTTGATAAACGCACAATGTCCGGTTCATGCGGCTGCGTGTTATAGGTTGCGTTCAGAGCCAACTGGGCCACACGCTGATACGGCAGTAACGACAGTGTCAGCGGGACAACTGTTTCATCGCGCCAACCGCCGACAACAATCGCGGAAGCCACGAGCGGGTGCGTTCAAATAAGGACGGTCGTAGCTGTGTCACGCCTATCTTTTGTTTTCAAATAAATTTGTATGAGGTAGCATAGCATAGGGGGGGGGGGGGGGTCCATACAACACAATAACCGTACTCTTAAAAAAAAAAAGTCTTTTTTTTGTAAAAAAAAAAAATGAAAAAATATGCGTCTGAAAGGAGATGGAACTACGGTACGCAACTTCAATGGCTAAAGGAATAAAAAAGTAAAATTGTCTTCTACGTAATTATTTTGTATGTATAAGGCGCGCCAACTGGTCTACTAGAAGCATTTAGGTTCAGTTTAAGTTTATTTTTCAGGTAATATATAAAATGGACAAACTTGGTCTCTTGCACAACTCTTCATTAATTAGGCATATTTCGGCAATTTTTTTTAACACATCTTAGAATTAAGATTTTAGGCTGAAACTTTTTGTCCAGAGTATTTAATGCTTTGTTCACTTTGAACAAAAAAGAAGTTAGCGCTGAACTATTGTAAGTGTTTGCATCCTGCCCGAAAGTTTTCGAAATCATCCTTGATTTTCCCCAAATTTTTCTCGATGAACCCTTGGTAACAAGCAACTCAAAATCAAAAAAAAAAAAAAGCATGCTGCGTCACACTGTATTAAATTATAAAAATAAACGTTTTGCCAGGTCTATGTTGCAGTCAATTGACTTTTTTCTAATTTTCTAAAGTCCCTCTATCCTGGGAAAAGTGGCGCCATCCATTGTTGTGGAAATGATCGAGGCAGGTGCCGCGCGCCACTTCTGGGAAAAACATGGCGTCTGAAACCTAGCCCAGTGCTGCGCCGTCCCGCCATGATCTTCCCAAGGGCTGCACGTTGCACGTGCCTCGTGCATCGACGCACCTTGCGCTACTTTTAAAACATGAAGGAGCTTTATAATTTTCCGCTAACGAGCGCCGCCTAGGGAGTTGTCTACGAACTACAAATGAAGGGCAGCCAATCCTGCCTCCGCCCATCAGAATACGTTGGCATCGTGCCGTTGCATTGATCTTCGTTGCCTTTTATGCCCCATACTAGCGTATATATCTCAGACAAGAATCGCCAACAAGGACGAAATACGCGCAAAGATAGGCGCTGAATATGTTGGTCGACCGGGACTTTGCCCTCCCAAAATGGCGACGGCGGAAAGCAAGGCTACCATAGCAAGGCCATGGAAGGGAGTGTACGCATGCGCAGAAGCTTACTAGAGAAAGGTCATTTACCGTTGGAGGCTTTCTGTTCCCTTAACCAGTCCCGTTTTTTTTTTTTTTTCTGTTTTGTTTTGTTTTTACAATTGGCTTTTTGGTGAAGTTCGCGCTTAATCCTAGGATCCAATTAATTTTTTTTCTAATTGGCTTTAAATCGGCTGTGCCCTCGAAGCGGTACCAGTTGAAGCATTTTTATTTTTTCAATATTTTATAAGGCCTCACTTTAACTAATGTTTCAACGAATACAGGTACTCGAGCACCCCATCCACAGTGGACGTGGATGGTCGCATTATCTCCCAGACACCACGGAACACTATACAAAAAAGCGTGCGAGTTGTTTTTCTCTGGCAGTGATATGGCTGATATTGCTTATGAAAAGTGAACCTTGCGGCGCATTCGGTCCTTATAGGTGTTGTGCTTGGTTGATTGCGTTGCACTGCGCTACTTCCCCAGTGTAGTATATATTAATGTGGGTATAACCCGTTGACAAAATGATTCGATTCATCTATCTTGACATCACCATACTTCGTTCATAATCACCGATGGATTGCTACGATGGACGTCACGTTAGCCACCCTGGCCAGTTTAGGACAGGGACGCGGCGACAACGCGTCGCCGCGTCCCTCTCCAGGGTCACGTGACACTCGCCGTCCGTAGTCCATCGTAAGGTAAAACCAACCTTACTAGAACAGCTCAGTTGGGAAACTGCCATAGAGCCTGTTTTGAAAAAGTGGCTTCGATCCGTACTCGAGAACCGACCTAATGGCGATCGCAACGCCGCCATTTCTCCCGCAGTGGCCACTCTGGGAATTGCACGTCCGCACGTATCGGTTCAGGTCGCGCTAAATCGCGGAAGGGTCGGTAGCGACATCTCGCAGTGCCATTTTGCGGTAGCAATATAAGTAAACTTTCATGTTTTGACTAAAAGTCGGTAACGGGTGGCGCTCTTATCGTATCTAGTTTGGTCTCGGTGGACGCGAGCAGTCCGGGTTTCAAAGGTGAGTTTCCCAACTGAGTGTTTTAGTAACGTTGGGTAAAACGGAGCCTAGGAACAGGAGACCTTAGGGATCTCATGCCCCAACCGATGGCGGGCGTGGCGAGGGTAGAACAATTGCAGGCTGCGTTTAAGAAGAAAAAGGGACGAAGAAGTGGAAAGTTAGGTAGAGTCATTGAACCAACGTCACTAGTTGCGCCAATTTCTGGATATTTAATTTCTGCTTCAACCAAGACTTTTTTTTTTAACAATTAGTTTTTTTTTTTATTAGACTTTTTCATCGATAATCACAGACCGATGTTTGAAAAGTAAATAAACACACACAAAAAAAACAAAGAAACGTCGATTGTCTTTGTAAACAAACACCTCAATATTTGACAACAAAATATATATCTCTGTTCAAAAAAAGAAAAAAGCAACACATAAACGAAAAGTGCTTTGACGTACCGTCCGGTGCTGACCTCTCCCCAGCCCTGCCGAGCAGCGGCTCGCTGTTGGTGGGCTGTTGTTGTCCGGGCTCGTCGGCCAACAACTTTCGGGCAGCCGCCAACGCTGTCCGGGGTCCCAGGCGCCCGCTGTTGTCCGCGTCCGCCGCCCGGAAGCCGGCCCGAAGCGCTGAGGAACGACCCCGGATGAAGACACGAAACGGGGCAGGAGAGCTCTCAGTTTCGCAATCTCCACAGAGGGCATATTCGTGATTGCGTTTCTCCTGTTTTCTGAGGCAACCGCGAGAAGAACGCTAACGGCGTGACCCTGCTAACCTGTTTTCTAGTTGTTGTTTGTTCTAGTTTGCACGGGAACTTACGCAGACGCTGTGAATTTGAGCGAGATGCAGCGTCTGCGCTTGCGCAGTGCCTACCACCGACAGTGGCGCCACCGCAGTCGCGTGACGCCAGAGAGTTTAGTTGGGACTATTGTAGAATTGAGACGAAATTGTCAGGTTCTTTATTCTGGCCCTGCTCTCGTATAGGTTCTCGCACACTCTATTGGTTCCCTGAACTATGTTTTGACGGAATGCTGGAGCTCTGAACGTTCTCGGACACTCTATTGGTTCCCTGAACTATGTTTTAAAGCGCTCTCGATCGTTGGACAGTTGTGTTGGGTATGCTTCCTTTCTCCTGACTGGAGACTATGCAAATAAATAAAGAACTACCTAAAGCGAAACATTTTTTTAAAACTTAATTGAAGAAGCAACGCTGCGCTAATTTGTACGACGTGCTCTTTGTATCCGGAATTTCGGAACCTCCATCGGGCCTTCACTGCGGATAACGTATATAGGTACAAAGGGAACTGTTGGCGGCGGCGAAAAAGTGTGAATGAGCGCATCTCCAGTTTCGCTAGAGTTTCCCACCGGACAAATTGCTAGTTACAAAAAGAAAAAGAAAAAAAAAAGCGTCAATCTAGGTCACTGCGACGGATGCTCAAAGAACAATTAATGCCAACTGTCGGGATGCATCCGGCCTTGCAACAACCCGCTAGCAGTCGTAAGAAAAAATAATAACAATAAATAAGTAAAAAATATAAGGCGCAATTAACTTTTTTTCTTGTTGCGTGTTTCTCGTCTGCTGCAGCGTCTGTTATCGTCTACTTTAGGGAACCGTTTTTCACAGTAGCGAGTTTTAGTAGACCGTGTTTCCCCCTCCGCTAAGCCCCTCCGCTGCCCGGAACTCTACAGCCAAGGCTATCGGCGCGCAGGCGCAGTGGCGGTTTCTTCGTAGCGAAGGGCTAGCGGAGGGGGAAACACGGTTTACTAAAACTTGTCTGTTACCGTCCGCTACGAGGTGTGTTGTCGTCTGCTACAGTGTCCGTATCGTCTGCTGCAGCGTCTCACCATCTGCTACAGCGGCTGTTGTCGCCTTTTACAGCGTTTACGTTTGCTACAGCCTCTGTTGTCGTCTTCTACAGTGTTTGTTTGCATCTCTCCAGCGTCTGCTACAGCATCTGTAGTCGTCTATGACAGGCTACAGCGTCTGCTACAGTACTTGCTACCGTCTGCTAACTGGGTTAGGCAGCATTGTACCTTTCGCCGATCGCATCAACCATCCACTCTCAAGTAGTAGGAAGGCCGCTATCGGGAAATGTACGGGCTCTGACGCGTTGATTAGTTATTCATGATGCGATTTGGAAAGCGACCTTGCAACGATTGCGCGCGATGCACGGACAACACGGAACCCGATGTCGGTTTTCCGCTCAACGATAAGAAGAATGCATTGCACAGGAGGCGTCGGCCTCAATAGCTACGCACGATTGCAAGCAGGACATCTAGCCGCCGCCACGTTTCTTGTGGTGCGAGCTAGCACGTTCAATTGCAAGCCTACCAAGGCTACCTCCAGGTGCAACGTGCAAGGTGCACGTGTTTGAGCGCACGGGAACAGGTCGTGCACAAACATACAAAAAAGGCCTGATTTCTTTTTTTTTTTTTCACTACAAAAATAAGTTACAGCTTTTCCCCTAAAACGTAGGGATTTTTTTTTTTTGTTGTTGTTTTTTACAGCTAAAAAATGATTGACACATCGAAGAACGCTTATATACTCTATTTCACCTTATGATGTACCGCGGGAAAGGCTATACAAGCGCGAGCTCTTGCTCTAGGGCACGTCTCGGCGGCACAAGCTCTCGTGCACTAAGGACAGTTGCCAACGCTAGGAGCACGCGCTTCTAGCCTTCGCTGCGGTACAACATAAGGTGAAACGGAGCATAGTCAATGAAAGGTTAGGAATAAAGTGGAAGCTCCTCCCACCTCTTGCCACTTTTGCCGAGCGAATGCTGGAGAGGGTGTAGTCTCCTCTCCAGTGTTCGCTCTGCTAAAGTAGAAATAGTAGGAAGGAGCTTCCACTTCACCAAATACTTTACTAGTATTTGACTTTACTCTAAGCCTGTCACCGACTTCAACATCCGCCCAAATGTCCGGACGAGATGCCAAAGTTCTAGAACTAAGGGCTCATTCACACTGGAAGCGGATCCGCGTTCGCAAAGCGAACGCGGTTGTATAAGGATTCAGTACAATTGCACGCGCACACGATGACATCAAATGCGCGTGCAATTGCACTGGATCTTTATACAACCGCTTTCGCAACCGCTTCGCGAACGCGGATCCGCTTCCAGTGTGAATGGGGGGTCAAAGCTGAGAGCAAGTCGTCTGCTTCTTGCTCAGGAGTTGTGGGGACGTCAGAAAGACGCCGAGTTCAAATCGGCTTTGATTGAAAGGATGGTGGGTACTACTAGGCAGACCTCAATGCTACGTTCATATCTCAAGGTCTCAATCAGTCAATAAGAGTTTGGCGTCCTGAGATCATCGCACCCCCTGTGCAAGAAGCAGACGAACTTGTGCTGCGCCATCTCCATTACATCTCCATGCATTCCTGGGTTTTGTCGGCCGCCATTTCCTCATAACATTTCCAAAAAACGCTTGTAACTTTTAAATCGTAAAACGACAAGCCCTGAAACTTTGGCATCTGATGCAGACCGAGCACTATATACATTTGGGCAGAAATTGGGTGTTCGACGATGCGTAATTTATTTTTGCGGTAAAAATTGTTGCGGCAATGATGACGATCATGATGAAGACGAAATGGGTGTTGTCCCTAAACCTAAAGCCCCTCGATGTGTTTGCGTTTGTCTTGCAAGTAACGTCAAATGCGCGAGTGCACGAGGCCCATGTCTCGAGCTGCCCTTGGAAGCAAATGGCGGCGCAGCACTGAAATGAGCGGGTCTTGGAAGCGAATGGCGGCGGAGCACCCGCTCATGGCACGTGTCTCGCGCGCTTCCACAACAATGGTTGGCGGTAGTTGTAAAAAACGCTTTTATCAAGGGGCTTTACCTAAACCTCCTCACGATTTATTTTTTTTCTCCGGCAGAAGTTAAAAAAGAAAAGTGTCACTTTTGTGGAGCGCGGTTAGGGAAGACACTGCTCGCGCGCCCGACAAGTAATTTCGAATAAAACAAAGAAGAAGAAAAAAACAGGCAGAAGGTATTCACAGTTACGCATGTTTGGAACGCCAGCTTTGCTCCAGAATGGAGTACGGTGTCCAAGTGAGCGGTGACGCGAAACTCGTACCAATCAGCGCGCCGAATTCGGTCAATGTCTTTGACGTCACGCGTCTTGGGTAACCGAGGCATTGCGTCGCCATGCTTCGCGGAGACCTTACGCAACAATAGATGTCGGTGTTGAAACACTCTTGCAAAAAAAGTTTCGAACTCTCCCTTTTTTCTTTTTTTTTTTTTCAGATTGGCGTTTTTACGCGTTGTCTTGCGAAGAAAAACAAAGCTCTCGGCAAAATGACAAAAAAAAAAAGAAAACAAAAAAACTGTCTTCGGGATCGCAAAATGAAGGACGTCTGCGTTAGAGGGAGAAAAACAAGTTCAAACTATACTTCGTTTCAGCTTCGGTCCAGACGCAGCCGATGCTACAAACGCGAGCATGTGGCCCAGAACAGTGCTTGCACTGCACGAGCGCGCGTGCTTGGCAGGGATGCTGAAAGCCCGGAGCTCGCGCTTGTAGCTTTGGCTGCGTCTGGACCGAAGCTGAAACGAAGTATATCATTCGATGATACGTTTCTGCAAACTCTCGCTCGAATTCCCCGAGAAATGCTCTGTGCTACCAGATCCTCGCGCTCCAAATCGGCGACCGGGCGCTCTATGGCTCCGTTATCGAGCTGCCAGGCTTTGTGAGTATAGAGGAGGCTATATGAAACAGCACAATCGTTATTCGACATGTTGGCAGACAGGTTTTGTGTGACCAGTGGGACAGGGACCGTCATACAAGAAAGAAACGCCAAACCATACCTCTACAGAATGTAATAAAATGCTCCGTCTGCCCATATTTTGTTAGCACATTCTGCTGCCCGCATACAAATTATGCTGCGCTGTGTGTGGGCTAGAATCGCGGGACCAGCCCACTTTATGTATCGACTCTTCGGACGCAGTGTTTACTTATCGTAGTACCTTATTATGAGTAAACTCCAAAGACTGTTTTGAAGTGAACTTTGTAAAAGCCGAAGGCAGACACGGATGGCCGATTATTTGTCCTCCAGAAAGAAGAAACCGTCTCGGTTGAGCACGCTCAAATAACATCGCCGGAGCCATATTTTATCTCGGAAGTACTTTCCAAGTTGTGACACTAACCGAACTGCCGCAATTCAATCGGTTCGTGCTCGAAACTTGAAAGGGGCCGCGCTGGTGCGATTTTAACCGAACTTGACCTTCAAAACGCCACACTAGCGACCTGCCTTGTATTTGGTTCCTGCGTGAAAGAGACTCCTTGATCGCGTGTGACTTTAACTGGGAGATGTCGTGATGATAGCCGGAACGATTTGCTCGCTTGCGTTAGGTCCAGTTTGAATAAAATAAACGTCTCTTTATAGTAACAACAAAAAAAAAATGAGATTGGGAACAAAACTTGGACGACACAACGCCGTTTCAAAACTCAGTTGAGTTTTGAGAGCAGGGTTTTGAGACGGTGTTGTGCTGTCCAATTTTTGTCACTAGGCTCAATTTTTTTTTTTTTTTTTATTATGATTCTTAACTAGCTTCCTGTGCAGTAACCTTTATTTCAGTGTCTCTTGCTGAGCGTATTATTGTTATTAACTTCGCCGCCGCAGACTGCTGCAAATCTTTGCCGGGAAATTGCATCTCTCGCAACTCGCGTTGTTTGAACTATAGATTTTTTTTTTTTCTTTCATACGCGTCGTTTCCTTGTAACGTATCTCTCGTCACTTCCCGGAAGTGGCGTGTGATATCTGTAAGGGTTACTGTATTGTCGTCGTCTGCTTCTCGTTTTCAATTGTGCGTTCCTGTACACTTCTCGTTATATGACACTTTCGACATTTTTTGTTTTCTTTTTAAACCAAGTAGGGTGTTGAACCTATCGACAACGAAATTAAAGTAAGATGAAAACCGTCCGAAGGCACCCATAACAACAAAATCGTTTCAGACTTTGCAGTCTTGACATCTTTCGATCTAAAATGTAGGATTCCGCTTAACTTTGATTTATATGCGCTATATTGAAAGAAACTGAACAAATGATTTCGTCTGTGTTCTTATCACACACACAAAAAAAGAAAGACTTCACGGGTTGCAGAAACTGGCATTAATCACACATATTATAAGAGAAAAAATAATCTGACTTATGAAATACAATTGGAATTTGTATGGCGGTTATGCGCACGTATTTCCAAAACGGAGACTATGAATAGGCCGTACACTTCCCGGTTTTACCCGAAAAACATCCGTCGGTGTCAACAACACAAAATTGGTAAAAACCAGGAACACCAATTTGTTGAAATTTTGTCTCCAACTAGGACTGTTTTTCTCGAAACACTCCCCTCTTAGACTAGAATTCTTAGTTTTTAATTATATTGCTTTTTCTTTTTTCAGAGATAGTTATTGTATTTTAGTATCCGTTCGAAGCAGATCACCGAAATGTATGCAATCTTAAAAATAAATAAATACCGAAAACCACACGGCGATTTTCCTTATAAATAAGAACCGGATAATGTACGGCAGAGCTGTAAACCGTATTACCCCAACTTTTTTTTTTTTTTTCTTTTAAAGAACGTAACGGTATTTTGACGACCGGCTCTTCCTTTAGTCGCGGGTCACCCGTTTTCACGTGCCGGATATTTTAGGACGTCCCCGAAAAAACGAGACGGCCCGACACTCGGATTAAAACAAATGCCAAGACAAAAGAGCGACGCCGCCACCCCGAGGAGGGGGAGATCCTAACGCTGACGTCATGTTAGGAAGCCGCGATGACGAATTGCGGTTCTGACACCGGTCGCTCCCTCCCTTCACACAAAGCAGACGCTGCCGCCCGATTCCATTCACACAGAAACGCGTCGCCGCCGACTCTGTAGCTTCCAGCGCGCTAGCAAAACAGACGCGTTGTCGTCGTCTGCTAACAGGGACTGCGTCGCCGCCACTCTAGCTTCCAGCCCGTTAGTAAACCAGACGCGATGTCGTCGTCTGCTAACAGAAAAGCGTCGACGCCACTCTGTAGCCTCCAGCGCATTACTGCAGTGGCTTGTGGCGCTAGTAGAAGAGATGCGTTGTCGTCGTCTGCTAAGAGACGACGCGAAAATCTGTCGTTTATGCTCAAATTCCGCTAAAAAACAAACAAACAAAAAACGCGTTTTTTTTTTTTGTTTTTTTTTTTAATTTGCAGTGGGTTTTGTTTTTATAGTGTCGATGATGATGGCGACTATACGCGGAGCTTTGAGCTGATGCCACGGAGGAACGAACTGGATTTCTTTGACAGAAAGATGTGAGGTCGCTTACCGAATTGATCGGTGGACGCTTTGAAGTGATCCTCGCCGTTCGAGTGGATTGGCTGGATGGTGGCGTTGGAGTGACTAATGCAGTCGGTATCTCGAACTGGTTATCGAAGAGGTCGATGTTTGCTGCTGAGATTATGCCGGGGCGTGCAGCGTTCTGGATAGTCCGGTTCGAGATCGCGCAGCAGACTACGGACAAACGTGCGTACGGGGACGCAAGACTCCGATGGGAAGTGTTGCGGCGATGGCAGAAAGGAGAATGCGACGTCGAGAGCGAAACAAAATAACCGGCGAGGGGTGTGGAGAGAAGGTCACCGCGATTGAAGAGCGTAGCTTTTTGCCGCTGCTGGTTTGTTTTGGAGTGGTTCGCGGTGTTGCCGCGCGGTGCGGGTTTGGCGCTGCCTACCGCCCGCCTCTTTAAATAAAATAACGGATGGATAAGGTGAGGGTGTTGATAACTTGCGCCATCTAACGTTTGAGTTTGTAAACTAAAGTATTGATTTTTTGCATATCTAGACCAGCTTTAAAAAACTTTCAAATCTTATATGGCGCACCTGAAATCCGGCAAAAATATATAATTTTATATTTCTTTAAGTTGAAACTTCGTTTTGCTTTACTTTATGCGTGCATCAGGATAAATGGAGAAAGGCCTGAGAAAGGCAAACAATTAAATTAATAAAAGTGGACTGCGGCTTGCGCTAGCTACCGATTATTTCTCATATCGAAGGTTAAACATTAAGATTCAGTTTTTTGATAGCAACACTTGTAAATATTATTATTTGTGTGGTGGAAGAGCCTCTTCGTAATCAATGAATTGCTCGCATCATCTGCCCAGAGGATAAAGAATAAGACGGAAATATTTACTTGACTGTGTCGTTGAAACGTTTTATTTAAATAAAAATTAAATGAGCCGCAGTCTCGCATGACTGTAGTTCAGGGCCGTACCCAGAAAAAAATTTCGGGGGGGGGGGGGTTTCGGGGACAACGGCGGCCATTTTGAAAGTGTCTATTGTCTTATTTTCGCCTATGAATCTGTGTATTCCGGTCCCGGTTTGGTACCCGGTAGCCGACCGGCGCCACTGCGCGTGCGCAGAGGTGGAGATTAAAATCGGCTGGCTGCCAGTGCACCGACCAGGGCCGTACACAGAAAAAAATGTCGGGGGGGGGGGTGGGGGGGGGGGGGGGGGTCAGAACCCCCTATACCCCCCTGGTTACGGCCCTGCTGTAGTCATTGAGACCTCTGAGACGGTACTTGATCGCTTAACTATAAGCTAAGCTGTGCCTGAGCTGTGTTGAATAGCGGCGCCATCTAACAGCAGTTATATGCACTAATAGTGCGGCCGTGTACACTGGTTTCGCTTTCGATAGGTGAGCCGCGCGAGCGAAACTTCTCTGAACTTCGATATTCATTCGTCTAACAAATTGAAACGACTTGAGATCAGTAATCCGTACTCCAGTTGAAGAAGCTCCATGTGCGAAAAGGATCGCACTCAGATGAGGTTGAGATGTAACGATAATTTTAGGCACCAGGCTTATTCGTACGGACAGGACGTCCATTGAACATCACCTCAAGAATTGTAGTAAAAAAAGTCCGTGTCCACGCGGAGCATTACTAATTTCCCCCTTTATGTTGATAATGAAGACATATGTAGGTGAATTTCAGGTAGAATATACGTTATCGTATCGAAACGTACGCGTTCCAAGCAGCAAAAACATCGCTTTTTCCTCCGACAAAAACAAATCTCGCAAGAACTACTTCGCGCCGCGTGTAATAATGCGTAAAAGTTTACTTTTTTTTTTCTTTTTTTTTATGAGGTGAAGACGGGTATGTGTATGCGAGCATTCGGCGAGCATGCAAGATTTCTCGGACGAGGGTTCCCACCATAACCACGCGGTAGGTAGCACTTTGCCCGCGACGGTGACCTTTCGCCGGCGACAACCGAGGAAAAAAGCAAACGTGTAAAAAAAAAAAAAAAAAAAAAAAAAAAAACATTATTGCGCTTTTTCACGTTGGAAAGCAGCACTGACTGTCCCAGCGACACCCCGGAGATTTTCTAGACGAGGAACGTTGTACTTTCTTCTGCTTTCTGTAAGCTCACCGTCTTGCCATCTCTTTCATTTGCATATACGACTACTTTGGGCCCACACCTGATGGCATAAGAAGGTTTAAACCACCACGACACCACAGTACTGGCAGTATGTAATAGAAGGGGAGCAAGCACAACGCGTCGCCGCACAATTTACTCGTCTCAGCAGGGACAGTTTCCAACGTTGCTAGATTTTTGCCAGCAACTGCGCAGCAACGCAGGCTCAACTTTGGGATAACAGCCACGTGCCCTGGCAGTCCGCAGGGCCAAACCTAAAAATGCTGAATCATGTTGCGGTACGTATAAAAAGCATCTAAACTTCCGCGCGCAAAAAAAAAAAAAAAAAAAAAAAAAGTAATCTTGAATTAGCCTTTCCTTCCTTGGGCAGAAAAATAATTCGTAACATATATGTATACAATAAAACCAAAAAAAATAAGAAGAAAAAAGTCGTCTTCATTTTATTTACGTAAGCGTCATGGTAACACGCAGCTCTCGGAGGCGTGTTCCCATCATCATAGTGATTGATGACTCCTTTCCACGTAAAGAGCACTATCTGTTTCATTATTTTTACTTAATCAGGCCCCGTATGGTATACATATATAGGCCTCCGTAGCATGCGATTCGTCAGCAGTAACGCGCGCTTACACGTATCATAAACATACGTGCACAAACATTTACGCACGCTCATCGCATCCCGTCGAAACACAACGTCACCCCCCCCCCCCCCCCCCCCCCCTCCCCCAATGACTTCCTTGCACGCATAGTAAACCTTTTCTTGTACTTCCATTTTTATTTTCGATTCTTGTTTTATAACATTCGCGATCAGTCTGTGATGTGTCTAGAGGTTGACGCCACGCCCCCTAATGCTCCCAAGTTTTTTTTCTTTTGCTTTTCTTTTACTTTTTTCTTTTCAAACATGTATGACGAGATACGTAGCGATACACCAGCTTAAATAGCGCTGCTTTCTTTTTATTTCTTTTTTATTTGCGTTGTGTCGACCTCGATTGGAGCGACGCATTTCAGCTTTGTTATTTATCCATCGTACTTCCATTTAGCAATAGCTAACGGTTTAGTTTAGGCATATCTCCCACCACTTTGATGGGGGTATTCGACCCCAATTTTCACCGCGTTTCGAGGGAGCAATGAGGTCATTGAATTATTGAAAATCACCTCTAACATCCACAAAGAATAAAGATAGACGCTTTCGTGCTTGCTTGTTCCGGACGTTTAGATACGTACCAAGACGCTTGTTTTCAATGTTAACTCTCTAGTCTAAAGTGTGTTTTTTTAAGCTTGAGCTGTAGCCTAGACCGTCAGGCGTCTAAGTTATTCTGCTTTCAATCACTCGTATCGGGCCGACCACAGTAGATAGAAAAAAACACACAAAAAAACGTCGCTTGTAGCGGAGAAAAAAAAAAAAGTAAAAGTGTTACGCTTTTTTGAGTAAGAACTAAACACCGAAAACCAAAATGACCTCGATAGCAGACGATAGAGGCCTACTCACCGTCTATAACGTGTTCGGGCACCCAAGCAAAATCCTGAAACAAAAATCAGACAAAAGAGGAAGTCAATGTAAGGTTTTTCTGTGGGTGGCAAACTCTGTAGAACCTTGGATTCGTCGGCACGCGCAAGTCGCTAAAGAGAACCTCCACAATGGAAGAGAGGGATGGGGCCAAAATCGGGGTTTGTGGGGAGAGTTGGGGCGTTATGTAAATAAACACGCGGGGGCCCACCCTTGCGGAACAGATTTGGTTGGAGCAACGTAGGAATTTACGTAACTCGACCCCCCACCCCCTCAAAAAAGAAAAAAGAACGAAGTAGAGAAGATAAATACAAAAATGTGTAAAAGTGTCCTGCGGAAGTTTTGCATGTAGCACTCGATGTGCCTTCTCTCTTGCTAGCCGACAATCATACAAATCTGGATATAAAATAAAACGACGATATAAAAAAGTCAATGTACGTGTAACTGTCGACATAACTCAATGTCAAGATAAAAATGCGAAGAATGAGAAAATGCGAAGAGAAGTGGTTTGCGAGGACAACGTCCTCCCAAATATTTTTTTTTTTTTTTTTTTTTCCGGGCAGGTTATTTATTCGGTAACGTTTGACAAAAAGAAATGTCAAGCCTCTGCTGAAACCTGCAAACATCAAACGGATGCGAAGAATAAAAAAGAAGGCAGATTACAATATCAATGAGCCGCGTCCTTCTTTGAAGCGGTCGGCGCAAGACGCTTGACCGTGCGTGCATGTATGAATAGAATTTAGCAGACGACGCATGTCTTTCGACTGTCGTCTGCTCACAATTCGCATGAGCAGACGAGATTCAAAAACAAAAGTAAACAACGTATTTTTTTTTTCTTGTGGCTGCCTTTTAACAGAAATGGGGACAATTTTTTTTTTTTTTTTTCATAACTTGCGTTTGTTGTTTTGCTTTCAATGAAATGCGATAGTAAGGTGTCAAAAACGCAATTTCGCCTCCTACACGCCCGTGTCTCCTGGTGAAATCTAGAACGCATGAAAGTAAGGAGAACACTCTAACTTGATAAAAAAAAACTCATCTGCTAACTTTTTTTTTTTCTTTTTGTTTCAGTACAAACATGACGAAGGCTGTGAAGAGTGTCAGGTTAGTCTGTGTACACTGTAGGCATTTTTGAGGTGCCAACTAGCAAACAACACAATACGCAAAACTATAGAAAAGCAAACCAGCAAGAGAAAGCAGGACAAACCCCTCCCACAAAGCCATCTTCTCGCCATTATTGGCGTTTTCCTCCTTTCCAGCGCTCACTCCGCTAATGTGGAAAGATTGTAGGGTTTCGTGGTAGGAGATCTTCGTACTATTCTTAACCTGCAACAAACTAATTACTAGTACTAGTATTCCAGGGAAACATTGCACCTCAAAACGCTACTGTTATCAGCTCGGGCTTTGTGAAAATGTAAGTATATATAATGCACCTATCTTTTCTTTTTTTTTTTTTTTTTTTTTTTTTTTTTTTAACGAGCGAGATTACTATGCAGAACCTAGGAATATATTACGCACTTTTTATTTTATTTTATATTATGGAAGTTTCTATTGTCCTGTTTATGTCCACAGTCTCTGTAGTTTGTGCAACGCGTTATTGGTTGAAATTATGAAATAAATCTAAAAACAATAACTTCCAATAGAGAGGGATAGGGAGAGATGGAAAGATTAGACTGACAACATTGTACTCACGCACGAATCCATTCTTTCCCGCCAGTCTGCATTGAAAAGGGAGTAATCCCAGGGCACGACCGCCTCCAATCACCCGACTTGCCACGAAACGCGACGTACGCCCATCCTCAAGAATCGCAGGCCTCCGAATGTCACATCCCCTCTTTCTCCAAATACGCGACGCCCGAAGCCCATGTTGCAGTCTCCAGATGGCGCCACCGTCCAATCTACTACGTAGTGTGTCTTGATTTGAGAGTGGCTCCAACTGCTCAACGTAGGCACGTGCCTTATGGGCCGCGTTCGCAACGCAAGCTGGAGAGGAGGTGACAAAAGCATCAGCGTCTTCAAGGCTTCAAGCATTGCGTTGCCTCTGCACTCGCCATCCTCCTCGCCACGTCGCAACGCACGCATGCGCATAAGCACACTATTTGCACAGGGCGTCTGCTTAAACGCTCCATTTTTTTCCGTTTTTTCTTACTTTTAGGTTCTCTACTTCTCCGTCTCTAAGGTTTTCTTTTATTCTGCCTTTTTTATTTTGCGTTTTCATTTGTCATTTACCGCTTCCGGCGTCGACTTTTTGGATCCTCTCTCCCAAGGCACCGTAGTTCCTGCTTATCAGACCGGGAATTTCGCGGTTTATTGTGAAATGCCAGCAGAAGTTCCCTGCCCCTGAGCGCGGCTTCGTTAGCAGACGACGTTTTCTTTCCTCGGATAATTTTGCTTTTTATTTCTCCGTTCCGATCCAGTGGGACAGGTTTGCGCGCCTGCCATTCGCAGCAGGGTGGCAACGCCAAAAGCTTCGTTTCCTTTATAGAGTTTACCTTTCGTTTTCTTTAATCTGGGGCCATTTTTTAGGCGGAAGGGTTGATCCCCTCATCAGGAATGCAGGCCGCTGCCTCTCCGTCGTCTGCTTTTTTTCTCTTCTATTTGTCTTCGCGGTTGAAAGAAAAATGTAGCACAAAAACGGTATTTAAAGACATTATATGCTAGGTTTATTTATTGTTCGTACTTGCAGCCTGCGTTAGTCTGTAAGAGGTACAACAAGCTAACGGAGAGCGAGTCGTCTGCTTCCTGCGCAGGAGTTGCGGGGCCGAGCTTTGATTGGCTTTGATTGAAAGGACAGTGGGTAGACCGATGCTAGATGCTTTAAAATCTACCCAGCTGTTTTTTTTTTTTTTTCATTATTTAATGACAGCTCGGCGTTCTGGCATCATCGCAACCCAGATGAACTTGCGCTCCGCAGGACCGAGCATAGCATTTTGCTTGTCTAATTGCTATACTAAACTCTAATGCATCCCACACTGATAAAAAAAAAAAAATAAATTAATAATAAATAAAAACTGTAATTAGTGATTGAACATACCGGGTACCTTTTTGCTCAATCTTTCTTTTCAAGCACACACACACACAAAAAGAAACGGGTGGCGAAGATGATGGCTATACTAGTAATCCATTATCATTTTTCTCATTAAAACGCTAGAAGAACACCGGCGACAAACCTGAAATCTGTCTGTTCTTTCCAGATATTTTCCCGTGGGTTCACGATAACTTGGCGAACTGTGGAGGATGCAGCCCCCGCGACCACTCAATGGTCAACACAAACGCTCCCGTGATGTGCTGTCACGTGCCTCACTCCGACGCTCTTATTGGATCCCGGGGGCCGTAGCCTCCACAATTCGCCAAGGTGATCATTGTTAAAAGGTCCGAATCACTGCACAGTGGCAGAACAATTGCGACACCACAAAACATGAGACTCTAAAACTACATAAGCTAGAAATGAAGTGTCAGTTTCTAGGGTTCCAACATTGGCGATATGCGTTTCGTGTCCTGGCATTGTTCAGTGATTCCGCAGCTTCCAACATTTGTTTTTTATTATCTAATTAATTTGCTATAAATCGTTGTTCTATTGTCGGATTTCCGAACGCTTCTAGGTTTTCCAAAGAGCGGCAAGTTGGTCAGCAGGCGCAACAACAAATATTGCTACATTTATTTAAAAGCTGACGAGCTTTTCCGGTGAGCATGTGTCCTTGATGAACCCCGAGACCCTAGGAGAAAGACGGCGATGGGGGAGAGAGGAAGAACAGGAGTCTCGAAGAAAGGCGGTACGAAGGAGAACAGGAGACTCCTGTTCTTCCTCTCCTTCACCGTCGACTTTCACCCTAGTCTCAAGTTTAGTTCATCGTGTTTAATCACCAGCTCGTTTGCGCCCTAACATTCCGAGCGGACCTGTTTACAACTAAGTCAGGCTCACATCTTTTGCACATGTTCCCATAGCAGCACCACCACAGCGGCGTGACACCTAGGGTTCGGTGCTTTGGTTATTTTCTTATTTCTTTTCAAATTCAGGGGTTATTTATTGGTTTATGTTTTTCCTTTGAATTGGTGTTTTTCGGTGTCTAATTTCAATGCCGGAAAGACCAGCGTTTATCGGGCTTATAATTTATAATATTTTCTCCAGTAACGTTGGTAAAAGAAGGGAAGGGCGCAAGGAATGTGGTTTCGATAGAAAGGAACAACCGCAAAGACAATCCGGTGCGGCTGTAGTTCCGGGTCAACGAGAGAAAAAAAAAAAAATTGGGGCAGAAAATTTCTCACTGTAAAGCTGATATGTTTTTTTTAATGCAAAAGCATTAAAGGGATACTACAACGAAATTTCGGCGCTTATTTTATGGTCTATATGTGTTCAAAGGAGCAGTATCACATCGAACACACCAATATCTTGTTAAAAAAGTCACGAAAAGGAATTTTAAAAACAAATTAAATGATTAGCAAAAAGCACGTCTGGTGGATGCCGCTAACGCCTTGTTTGTAATGCCCGTCTAGGAACCTTGAGAGCTAGTGACGGTGAGTGTCTCGCTTCCGGCCACGACGAGAGAAGAGGGGAAGGAGGAACTCCCGTGTTCCCGAGAATACCTTTTGTATGTTCCAGAAGTAGCTATGTCCCCCTACAAGATTATAAAAGATTAACCCGTCACTCAAAATTCGTACAAAAGCAGCCGCTTCGGTGGCTGGAACGACTAGGCCATCCTAGGGTGCCTTCATGTGCGCTTCGCCATCCCCTCGACGTCAGCCTCGCCGTAGCTTTGCTCGTCCCGAGACGACCTACGTCACGACTGCGTCGGATGTCACGTGCTCTAAGCTGGGCCTCTCAGAGCGCTTGCTAGAGTGGGCCGTTTATAACAAAAAACACAGCCACCAGGCTCAATATACAAACGTGCGATTGTCATTTACGGATATTGAGGATCATATTCAACCTATTCATCATCAGCCGTGCCAAAGGGCAGATAAACTCGTGAAGCCGCGCAAAAAGTCACGCAAAACGGCAAGTAAATGAAGCCGAAGGCGGCTGCCGCGCGTCAGTTTCAGTCAGCGCCACCCCATGGCACTGCGTGCCCGGCAAAAGAAATCGGCTTGCGCGCTCGGGCGGAGGCACGGCCGCCCGAGCGCGCTAGCGGATTCCTTGCCGCCGCGGCGGCACGGGCCGATGTCTGAGAGGCGCTGCAACTTCACGAGGACGCGCACAAGAACGACATTCATGCTTTCGCATTCACAACTCATAAGTGCTCGCAACCGAGTGCGACTGAGAGAGGAGACTTGTTGAAACCTCTTAAAATTTCTTACGACCAGGAAACACACCTAAAGTCCAGAGGGGCTTTAGGCCCTCCGGGAGGTGCGTGCTGAGAGTGTTTCCAGGTGGAGTGGTCGCAGGCACGTAGCTAAGGGAGAGACCCATGGGGCCCGGCCCCTCCCGAAATCTTCCATTCTGCTGGGAGCTCCTCTCCCCCCCCCTCATACAGCATTTTGTCATGGGCGGCTCCCCCCCCCCCCCCCCCCCCCCCCCGAAACAAAATCCTGGCTACGTGCCCGAGTGGTCGTAAGTATAGAGTAGGTCGGGGGTTGCATGCCTTCTTTTTCAGGAAGAGGAAAAGCGCAAGTCGGCATTTCAATCGCCAATCGGGTTTTTTTTTTTTTTTTTTTTTAAAGGACACATGCAAAGGAAAAAAACATTTTTTTTAAACGGCTTAGATGGAAAAAGGACGCCATAAAACGATTTTACAACGAAGAAAAAAAATTTTTAGAGCTATATTTACGGCGCAAAACGAATTTGTAGTTGGCGCCCGCGGAAAAGTGGTCTGTATTTATCACGTGACTGGTCTTTATTTATCACGTGGTGCTTGCGTTCTTTCGGAAGCTTCCTATGGCCTCTAAAAGTAACTTATTCATCTTTGTTTGAAGTATAACAAAAAACTAAGATGAATAAGTAACTTTAAGAGCCCAAAGGAAACTCCTGAAAAAGCGCAAGCAGACGTGATAGAGCTCCGGCCAGACGACGGCGGCGGCGCCCCGAAGCAGACGAACTTGTGCGGCGGCGGCGACGGCGGCGTGGAGAAACGCGTTGAAGCGGCGTTCGCAGAACGCCCAGCGTGCGGCGTCGACGCAGCGCGGCGGCGCGCGGGCCTACCACGTGACCAGCGGCGGCTCCCGCGAGCGCCAACTACAAATTCGTATAGCGCCGTAAATATAGCTCTAAAAATTTTTTTTCTTCGTTGTAAAATCGTTTTATGACATCCTTTTTCCATCTAAGCCGTCTAAAAAAAAATGTTTTTTTCCTTTGCATGTGTCCTTTAAGAAATAAGAGGGACTAAAATTGGTAGAGAGCAAGCTAAAAAACAACAGGAGCCTCAGTTTTGACAAACGACCTTTTATTGATACCCTTTTTTTTTTCTTCAGTCTAACAACAAAAAGAACAGCTGCTTTTTTTTTTTTAATTTTTGCTTCTCGGAACATTTTTTTTAAAGCAGGAAAGAGAAAGAAACGAGGCAGGGGCCAGCAGGTTCTGGGCACGGCAACCATTTGTGAAGCACGGCAATCGAATTTCCTCACGAGGGAGCAAAAGGATAAGGGGAGCAGGGACAATGCATTGCCATCGCATTTCTGCATCCATACAAGCTCAAAGCCAGATCCACCGAGTGCTCGTAGGGTAGCAAAGGGTCATCCGGCACACCCAACGTGGTGACTACATGCACAAAGGTTTAGATGAAACAGCGCTGCTGCGGTCACAGCTTAAAGAACACAAAAAAAAAGAAGCCAGTTCAGATTGATCGATTGGGGTTTCGTGGTCAAGGGCTGCTAAGGCCGCCCCTGTTTAGAACTGTGGCTCAAGTGATACAATCTACACGAACCGCTCAACAGTGTACTGCTCCGTAGAAATGCTTAAACCAAGTAACGAGTGTCCACCACCGAATTGTAATACATCTTCCGTGCGCCACCTACGAGTGCTGCCACACAGTCTACTTGGGCGAAGCTGCGAGAGGCCATCATGCTACCAGAGGCGGCGGTTTACGCACGGTAGAGTCATTATGCCATCTAGTGGACACCGGATGAGCTCCATGCTTCGAGAGAGCCGTCGAGGGTGCGGCCCAGGACTGGCAACGTGGCAGCTAAAAGGTTACCGCTGTCAACTGGCGGCACACGGATGAGGCTAGCGCAATGCGGCAGACCCGACAGATGGCGATGCTGGATGTGCCAGATGGGAAGTGCTATTTTCGTCGGGGTTGCCAGATGCGTAACCCCGGGAACTCTCGGGGACTCTGCTCGGAGAGACCCTGGGAATAGGACACGATGCCTCCATAAACCCTGCTGTGCTCAAAACACTGCAGACCAAATTCCCCCAGGAAAGACCTCTCTCTTTCTCTCCAAGATGGTGCTCTGGCTTTCTGAGAAAAAAACAAAACAAAACGGTGTCGCGAGCATAGTCAGGCAGGCACACGATTGAGTGATGAGGCGACAAAGGTAGCGTCGGTACGGTGCAATTGAAGCCTAAAAATCCATCAGGTTTATGACAGAAAACTGAGCCAAAAGACACATTTCATATTTTGGATGATTTCGCTACCCTTTGCTTTCTAACCGCAGACACAGACTGGACTTGGTTGACTGGTGCTACTGAAAGCGAGCTGGTTAGAAACAAGCAGACGCTGCTCCAAAGAGGTGCCGATCCATCATATCGGACGACGTAGAGGGTAGTGTCTCGACGCACAACCAAACCCAGACTGAAACGCAACTGGAGCTATGCAAAAAAACAAAGGAGACTTTGCTGCTCCCTCTATTGCCGCAGAGGAAGCAGACGACACAGTAATGCGCCGTCCACTCCACATTTTCAAAAACACTACAGACGGTTCCAGCAGACAGCAGTAGGAAAGATCAATTGCCCCAAACAGTCTAGGCGCTGCAAGCAACGTTAATAGGTGGGGCTCCAAGAAAACATTGTCTGCTTGCTTCTAATTCTTGGAGCAGACGACACGTTGCAGAGCCATCCGCTTCAAGAATTCTCGAAGCAGACTACGTTTCTAGCAGACGACGCCTCGAGCGCAGCCCGCCTCGAAGCAGATGCATTGAGTCTCGCCCTCCCTACGCTTCTCGCGTGCGTGCTGCCGTCTGACAAAACAAGGTTAACGATGACTAGAAGGGCGGCTACAACTTTCGCTAAGCTTGGTGAAAACAAAGAAAGAGACAGTGAAGGGGGGCGGAGGTATAACAAACCCACGTTACAAAGCAAAGATAGAGGGGGAGGGGACCCTCGACAGTTCCCAACAAACGTTTTCGCCAACCCACGCACGGCACACACAAAAGCGTCTCAACTTTTTTTTTTTCTTCTTCTTTCCTTTCAATGACTCACACAAGTTACAAAAACTAAGGCTATGTACAGGTACAAAGAGGGACTTTTTTTTTTGTGTGTGTGGGGGTGGGTGTCAGGAAAAGGAAGCTGGAAAAGGGGAGCTGGGAGGGGGATTGTCAGAAAAGGGAAGCTGAAAAATGGGAGGGGGGTTCAGGAGAGGGACGTTGGAAAAGGAGAGGGTCCAGGAGGTGCAGGGCCTCCCTTGAGAGCGTGCCACGAAGACGCAGTCGGATTGTGTGTGTCGTCTTCGACAGCAACCGTGCCACCATGTTCCGCATAGGAGGTAAAATCAGGAGAAAAAAAGGAAAGGGTGTTGTTGCAGTTTCTTTCGAGGTTTGAAGGAAAGGAGCCTGGCGTCCCGGAGAGACGAACTGTGCCCTCCTTTTCCGGCGAGGCGTTTCTTGCTGTGCGTGTGGCGTGCGTCTCTATGCAAAAAGGGGAGCCCTTTGCCGCCGGCTTCTTCTCGTCACCCCTGCGTCTTCCTGCAAAAACAACCGAAAAAAAAAAGTGTTTTTTTATTGGACATTCTGACGGCCTTGGTTTCGGTACGGTGCACGGAAGGCGTCTTCGACTGCCGTGTTCAGCGTCCCAAATCGCCCGTGCGTCAAAAGCGGTCTCGAAGTGGCAACGAACTACATTGCAGGAGACAGCACGTGGTGCCATCGGATGTTGCCATTCCTCTGGTTAGCCGTAGAAGTTCCGGCGAAAAACGACGAGCGATTGCGAGTACCGCCTTTGTCGTGCCGTCTTGACGCCTGGGCTGCAGAAGCTTCTGCGAACTGTTGAGCTGGAGAGCGATCTACATCCCAATGTCTGTCTACCGCCCACATCCCTGCCGCCGTTCCACCGCCAGAATTGCGGCTGGCACCAATGCGACCCTTCAATGAAGCGTCGTCTCGAGCGCCATAGTTTTCGTAGGGTCAGCAGTTGGGAGTCGGAGGCGACGACAGCGATACTTGCGTATGCTCTTCTCTTCTGCCGGAACTGCTACCACCGACCGCCACGCTCAACGGCACAAAGCGCCGGCTCTCGTAACATAGTCTGTTTCCGCTCCGGGACCAGATCGCTTTCAACGCACGGGCCATGTTGGGAAGGAGATTTAACCGTCATGCTACTAGCGGCCAAGTTGAGGACTAAACTGACGGGGACGACGACGTGAAACATTCGTTGGCATGACCGACGCGGAACTTGACCGACGTAGTCGAATGCTGCGTTTGTGTTCGGCTAGAGCTTGCGCTTATTCGGCGAAGTGCCGATCCGAGCCCAGCGGTCCGTCGACGAGCCTTGTGTTCAGTAGGCCCTGGGCTCCGGGCAAAACAAGCCGGACTAAGCGCCCCCTATAGTTTGATCTACCCACCACAGGACGCCAGACACACTGGCAAACGTCGCGTTCCATAGGTGCTTACCGGTGCGTCTTCCGGGGGCGGCGGTGCATGGCGCGGAGGCCCGTTAGACGGACAGGGAGATAAGGCTGTTGTAGTGGGTCATGTTGCGCTTGAGGATCTCGGCGCAGGGCCCCAGCACGCGCTCGAAGCGGGACCGGTCCAGCTTGACGCACTTGAGGTTACCCCTCGACACCACCGTGGCCGCCCGGGGCCGGTCCAGCAGCAGGGCGATCTCGCCTGCACGACCACAATCGAGTTTGCAATGGGCCCTCTTCAAAGGTCAGGCTTTGATCACTATCGTAATCTCGGTGTGTGTGGTACTTGGGCCTAACTAATGGCAGCCTCTTTGAGCCTAATGAAGGCAGAAAATAAAGGTGCAACCATGCGGGCCTGTACGTTCGAGACGTCGGCACGACACGTTGCAGGAATTAGGTATGACGGCTGCATAAGCCTTTATTCCGGAGGTCGGTCCAATCAATCTCTCGGCGCAACTCTAGCATTAAAACCTTTGAATGGCGGAAATTTAATCGAGCAGCTTATGTGCCGTCGCTTTGTACTGGCCATTTCTTATGTACACGCCATCGAAACTGAAGCGAATCGAGAAATAATCAGGAGGTGATTGAGGAACTAATTCTCATCTGCCGTCAACGTGCGGAAGTTACGCTGCCGGATAAAATCGTTTCATGGCTGCCATAAGTTTGCCGAAGGTGAAACTGCTTTTTAGGTTACCTGATGGCACTGGATTTGGAAAAGGGTCTATTGGTTGACCAGAGCATGACACAGTATGACACAGTTGGTGCTCAGCCAAAGAAATGACACAGTTTCTGCTTGGCTGAATGGATAACTTAATACAAGGACCGCACAACAATTTCAATGTGGAACGAGTTATGCGAAGAGAATATGAGGGAGAAAAGGAGATGCGAGGGCACAGGGACGCGAGAGCGCCAAGCTCCGATTGGAATGATTAAGGGGTAGGCGCAAAGGCTATCTGCCTCTACTCGCTATTCGAGCGCATTCGAAGGCTGGCGTCCAGCGTTTGAATGCGAGGCACGACACGAGGATATCAGACGAAGCTCTTCTTCACTTTCATTTGAGGGAGGCAGTGGGCTGAGGCAAAGGCACATAGCCTTTGCACCTGCCCACTAATCGTTCCAATTAGAGCTCCGCGATTCGACGTCCTTGTGCGTCTCCTCCTCTCCCTCAGTTTCTCTCTGCGTAGGGCTCGTTCCCGGGAGACAAACGCAACATTAGAAAAGAGCGCCACGAAAAACCGTTGTACAGTTGCCAAAATAGTCATTGTGATTAGTGTGTCACAATTGTTCATTAAAGATGACTTAATTATCTGTCATGAAATTATGATTTGTTATTAGCTGAATGAGGGGAGGGGTGGTTACCGAAGTAGTCGGATGGCCCGAGCCTGCCCACTTCCTCTTGGGGCTCGCTTTCGGAACGTCTCTGCAGCACGGATGCGGACCCCTGCAACACGCCGGCACAGGCTGGTCATCAAGGAAGGCTCACACCCCGTTGCGTGTGCCGCGGCCAAGAGGCTTCCGCAAGACGTACGGCCGTAAACGGAACAAAACGCAAGAGCACTCTTTCGTCACTCCCGTCGTCACACTTTGTCGTCGTACGTCACCCGTGTTAGCGCAACTGTCGTAACGTCCCGACAGAAGGCCTGCCCAAGATTGAAAGCAAATTGAGTGAAAATAAGGAGTAAGCTAACCTTCGGTGCGAGGTAAAAAGAAGTTGAAACAATGCTAGTTTTAGGTTCTGCGAGTTGCGAAACTTGCGATGGCAGTGAGGGGCGACGAACTAGAGACGACCGTCTTTCCCAATCGGCAATGTTTGCTCGTCTCCCGTCGTGGCTGAGTAACACTATTTCCGCCGAGGTCCCCATTAGTCAGGGCCCTGCAATCGCTAGAAGTGGGCTACCTTTTGATGTTATTGAAAAATACAAATACAGTCTAAGCTCGTTATAACAGACCTCGAATTTCACCCAGATTTCAGTCTGTTGTAAGAAGAGTATGTTCTGTGCAGATATGAAGTTGAGTCAGTGGTATGTAGAGGAAAACCAACCAAACTGCACAAATCAGTATGTTATATATAGATGTCTGTTGTAACCAGGTCTGTTGTAACGAGCTTAGACTGTAGAAAAATCGTGCCGAAAATAGGGACGGGTTGTCTTTTGGGGGTGGGGCATCTCGGGATATTACAGTAATCGAAGGTACACACGGTACTTGTACGCGAGCAGCATTGTACATCTCTCGGACAAGGGTTCCCGACGTAACTGCGGGGTAGCATTTTGCCCATGACGGTAACCTTTCGCTGGCACTGATTGAGGAAAACGGCAGACGCGCAAAAAGAATGTTTAGAATAGGGAAAGGGAAGGCGTGCCATTGCGGCACTTGGAATCTGCCCAGGAGCCAATGGGCGGCCTTGTAAGCCGGCAGGGACGCACGCACCTCCTCGATGATGAAGAAGTCGTCTCCGGGCATCCCTTGCTCCACGATGACGTCGCCGTCGTTGAACGTGACGGGCTCGAGCGCGTCCGCCACTGTCAGCCGCTCCCACTTGTCCAGGCTCTCTGCGGAGGGAACGAAACGGTCCATCTCAACGATTGCCCTGCCCCCTCTCTCTCGCGTTGTCCAGAGCCACGATGGATAAGCTGCTACTCTTGCCAGCATCGACATTCCATTCCTCGAGTGGCTCAAGAATGCTGCAATTTTGCCTAATGCAGGGCAGGCAAAATCGGTGACGGTTACCACGACACAAAATGCAACTACAGGGGCTGGAGATGCAGTGCCAGTTTCAGCATTTCCGGAGAATGCAAAAGCATTTCCCACGATTTCAGATAAAGTTTTAAACGAATTAAAAAAAAAAGAAAAAAGGTGGCTAAAGCGCTGCGACACTGAAGTGTAATTATTTGGCGGCTCTACTCCATGCTGCAAAATAAATATACATCAACTCGTGTTTACAAACAAACCGGAGTGCCCTAGCCACTGGACTGGGGATGTGCATGCATGATGGGGTGGTGGCAAGAAGCGCCGCACCCTACACCAACAAACCATTGGAATGTAATGTCAGCGTTGGTGAGTTCACGCGCTCTTTTTCGCGTTGCGATTGCCGATTCTACATCTTCCTAGCAATGTTTACTACTTCAGCGGTCTGAACAAAATTATGGAGGCTCGTTACACCGCAAAATTTTGCGCAAATAATGCGAAGTGCGGCGATTCCTTCGCTTGAACGCCATAGAACGGACGCTAAAGCCCATTTCACATAATGAGTATTTGTCCGATATTTTCACAGACGAATTTAAAAGAGCAAATGACAGTTTGAACGATCGGACGACCGCCTGAACGTGGTCCACGGGTGGTCTGAACCACTCGACAGTTTTCCCATTTGTGTTGAGACAAAAAGAATAAATCTGACTAAAACAAGTGTGAATTCGACCCAAGTGCTTCTCGCACGAGCAATCGTGGTTCAACGGTGTCCAATTTCCCCTTCCCACTGCACCTTATCCACGTTCTTAGACAGACCGAGCCAGGCAGAGAACACATAAAAACTGATCTTCAAAGCTTCCTGGCTCTTTTGGTACAGCCCTGGTCACGACGTTTTGACAAAAAGGCAGTTCCTTTTTTTCTGGTTTAATCTAAAACAGAGGAATGCCCATCCCAGATAGCCACTTCTGCCCCCACTCCCAGACCGGCAATGCGCCCAAAGCGCTACCACCGCGGCGTGACGTAACAGAGTTAAGTTGCTGATTAGGTGAGGACACACAACACGGCAAACGCTGCGACGCGATCGCCGTGTTGTGTGTCCTTACAACACGGCAGGGAGATATCTGGCTCGAACGCCACGCCAGAGACCTCTACGCTTCGACGCTTTCTTAAGACCTTTACTGCTGCCATCGAGGAGCGTCGACGACAGAGCAGGGTTCAAGTAACGTGCAAAGCACAAGTGCCGAATTCCATACGACGTGGCCCATCCAGGGAACGACTTTAAGAACAAGCGCGTCTCCTATAGAGAAGAATGGGAAACTGGGCCCATGATAGGCCACACATCGAGGATCCATATGGTAGCGGCGCTTGTAACTGAGGCGAGGACTCAATCTGGCAGCTGCGATGCTCTTGGCGTCCACACCCATATGCGTCTTACACCGTGCTCTACCCTCACCCTAATTTGAGTCGAAGCAACACCACCTAGGCCATAGTCACTGACAGGATGAGAACAGCAGGGAGGAGCTTCAGTTGCCTCGCCTCCAGCGCGAGCTTCTTGCCTTCGACAATGCTTTGGCGCCTCGTGATCCTTGAGCATGCAGGCGCATTCAAAAGACATGCCCTGCAGTTCTCGTCTCGTCGGTGACTGCACCAACGACTCGAGTGCCACGTCGCACGGATGATGCAAGTGCGGCGTCACACCAACTATGCGAGTGCCGCGTCGCACCGACGACGCAAGTGTTGCATTGCACCGACGATGCGAGTGCTGCGTCGCAGCTATGACGTGTAAGCGCTGCGTTGCACCTACGACGCAAGAGCTGCGTTGCACCAATGACTCAAATGCTTCGTCATACTAATGACGCCAGTGCTCTATTGCACCAACGAAGCGAGTGCTGCATTGTACCTACGACGCAAGTGGTGTGTCGCACCGAAGATGCAAGTGCTTCGTCGTACTAATGATGCGAGTGCTGCATTGCACCGACACGAGTGCTGTTTTGCACCGATGACGCAAGTACTTCGTCGTACTAACGACGTGAGTGCTGCATCGCACTAACGACGCGAGTGCTGCGTCGCACCGACGATGCGAGTGCTGCGTCGCACCGACGATGCGAGTGCTGCGTCACGAAGACGACGCCAGTGCTGCATCGCACCAACGAAGCGAGTGTTGCAGCGGCGTTCGGCTGTAACTCGCGTCTTCGTCAAATTAATGCAAGCTCCGGCCGAACGCCGAAGTGGCCCTCGTATCCAACCTGAGCGCCACACCAGCCCCTGGTGGGCGAAGTAAAAACCCCATCGCGACAGCCTCGTCATTCGGGAGCCGTCAGTCAGAGCAGGACCCCTTACCTAGGATGGAGACTTTGCTGAGGAACTCTTCGTACAACTTGCGCTTCCGTATGGTGCTTCCCTGCAAACGCACAGAAAAAAGTGCCGTAAGGACAGTGTTAGGCCGGAACGCTCCACGCTCGTTTCCAAAGGACGGATCGACATTTCCTTGCATAGTTGACATGTTTATTAAAAGGGCTGTGCAACAATTTCAGTGCTTTACCTTAATAATTTGGAAGTTGGTGTCTCCACCTTTCAGAAGTAAAGAACAAAATACCGCTTTTTCATGCATATCCTAGCTTTTATAAAAAAAAAAGAAAAGACAAAGATTGAGGTTTTCGGCACCTCTCAACTCCTTCACCACCTTCCGAGTCACGTGTGCTGTGATGTGAATGGGGGCCGCACAAGGTTCCGGTGAAGCTCTCTCCCTACAGCCATCAGTGAGCAGTGAGAACTCACTTGCTCGCGACCACGTGCTGACGGAAAACTCCGTATAATCAAAGTTATGTCGATGATACCAGGTTTTTGATGCATTTATATTTATGTTGGAACGACAAGAAATATAGAAAAATTACCTTTTATCGAGCAGGTATTTGCACAACTTCGTATCTTTTCGCCATGTCGTGTGGTTCTCATGGCCGCCGCTCGAGAAATATTCAAATTTTTGCCCCGCTACTATGCGGTGGAATCGCAACATTTTGAAGGAAGGAGATGTGTTTTCTGTCCTTTGTGACAAGATAAACAATGTCAAAATTAGAAGATGCAAATTTTCTTTATTGTTAAAATTGTTGCACAGCTCTTTTAACATTATTTATGAGTTATCGCCACATTTTTTGAAAAAGTATGACTTTTCTTCCACTTTGAAGATTATCGCATGGATTTCCGGCTCGTCACCTTTCAAAGCATTTGCATTTTCTGAGCCTGTCCTTTCAACACTTTTAACGCGGAGGGGGGTTTGTTTGATCTCGGGGAACCTGTCTCGATTGACGGCCGTGGAACGCATTCCGGTCTTGGCATTTATAAGGTAAAACAGTACAGGAGACTACAGGGCTTCGAGTCAGCAATGCATATACTAGGAGGTGTTTCACTCCTGGTTAAGCATCAATGACTGGCTCAGATTGTGTAAAATGATGCTTAAAACACTTTACTTAGGGACAGTAATGGTTGAGGAAATTTGAGAGCTCGGTGAAACCGCAAGGGTACCCCGGGGAGCATTCTTAAGAATTTACTTTGACGGGCTACCACCCAACAGTGTTAATCCATCTTTACACAACCAGGAGGCAAAACTTCAGCAAGGAGGAAACAATTCAGTGCTGATGCCCTCATGACAAAAAAGTCTGGAAGGCAATCCCAGGAACGAGTACTCACCATCAGAATCCTTCTGTATGTGTCTCGGTCGATGGCCCAGAGTTTGACGTCCGTCTTCGCCTACAACCCAAAGATACAGTCATCTCAGACGACGCATTGCACATCTCGCGAGTCTCAAGAATGCAAACTAGTAGCAAGGCTTGGACGTCAGGCAAACAGAAATATTTATAAAAAAACATACCTACAAGTTCCTTAACGAATGAAATGGCACGCAACTGTATCATACTCAAGCCACCTCAGCTGGGCAAATTCGATCAATGACAACATAGCTGTCATCAACCAATCGGAAAACATGATACAGTGTAGACCGCATATAACGTATGTCTCGGGAGTCGCGAAAATCCGCACTATAACCAAAACATCAATTTTTCAGGCCAAAATACATGCCATGAGACAACTTACCTTTGTAAAAGAATTTATTTTATGTTAGATGAAAAATAAAGCTTAGTTTGAGGAAAGTCTTTATTTCACCAGACTAGTACACTTCTCTCTCAAGTGTGTCACACATTTTGAAAGAAATGAGCGGCTTTTGCCTGACGCAGCCTTTTAACGGCGTCGTGGGTTGCGGACGGACGTTGCGAGCGTTCAGGATTACTAACCCTAATCACTTTTCTCCAGAGATGAAAACGCGTGAAAATTCGCATCCTTCATACGGTACGCGCCAGTGATACCTTGAACTTGAGCACACGCATGAAATGCGTCAAATAAGAAATCCAGGCGATGTTCGAGGACACAAATGCTTAGATATCACCACTGTAGTCGAAGTAAACAAACACGACGACACGGGCGTTTTTGCCGTCTTGAGAGCGCCGCCACGACATCGCCGCACGAGTAGGTGGATCTTCCCTTCTAGTACGTGCTGGGTTATCATAGCCACACACAACGAAAATTCACAGTCAAGGATAGCGCTTTTACGCAGAACGATGAGATGCACGCCGTCTACAACGACGATCACAACCGACGCCACGTTTGCGGAATAGAAGCAGCCGGCCCGCGACCGGCACAACCGGCATGCAACGCGCGCAAACACTTCTCCTCGACCTGCGATTGGTCTGTCGTTGCGGTTGTTTGTTTCTTTGTTTCCAATGCAGCGGAGGGCACGGCCGGTCTAGAGCGGAGAGGCTCTCCGCTCTAGACCGGCCGTGCGGAGGGACGCACGCACGTGAACGACTCGTGCGTGCATCCCTCTGTCGCTATGGCGACTGAAGCCTCTCTCTTCGCTTCTCCCCGCGTTTTCGAGCAACCTCCTTGCCCCGCGAGTGCAGCTTGCGGCTTGCGCCGTCAGCGCCGTTATCTAGTGTCGCACAGGGAAGCGAGCTCGCTGCTCCAGTCGTCGGCGGGCTGTGCCAAAAACCGCACTATAACCGGTATTTCCCTTCGCGCGCCTGCATTTTAAGCGGTATGTAATTACATGGAGTTCTATGGGAGGTGAACCGGTGGTTTAAAAAAAACCGCGTTATACCCGGTCCTGCACTATAAGCGGTAACGTTGTAAGTGGTCTATACTGTAAAAACAAAACAGCGCAAAGACAAGGACGAAGTAGAAGGAACCACAGGACACAGCGCTGTGTCCTGTGGTTCCTTCTACTTCGTCCTTGTCTTTGCGCCGTTTTGTTTTTATCGTGTCTACTTACCAACTAGCTCAAACTTCTACGTTATTCAACAATCGGAAAACTTTTTTTTTTTGGTCATTGGTTGACATTACAAAGTGCAATACCCTGAGAAGGTTTGGCAACTACAGGTCCTGGGTTGGAAAGAGCGAGATCGCTAAACTCGCAAACTTGACCTGTCTTCGAAGTCTCGGTGCAGTCGAATTTTTTCCAACAAAATTAAGATGTAAAGGCAGACATGTGCTTTCCACTACGACTCGCATGCTCCCCAAAACTGGAAAGAGCAGCGAACCGAGGATGATGTTCAGCTTCAAAGAAAGGACTTGTGCGGACACTCACTTTGACCGTGGCCGCACGTGGGGTGCCATAGATGAGGGCCAGTTCTCCGAAGCTCCCGCTCTCGGCAATGGTGGTCACCAGCTGTCCGTTGACGTAAACCTGGGGGAAGCGACGCGGCAAGCTTGCGGGCACCCGCCGGACAAACGGCACTCAGAGACGCGCGTGGCTGGTGGTTGTTTTCGCAGCCAGGAGTTGCCAACTGCCGACAACCAACCAAAGGCTCTTCGACTCGCCAGGAAGGCGCTTTTCTTGCATCGGCGACAAGTTGGCCTTCCGTTTGCCTAATGAGGTTGGGCCACCAACTGAGCGTTTGTTTGGTGCGAGCGGTCGAGTAATGACGAAGCACGATGCAAGGTTGTCGGTTGAACAAGAACTTTCGAGTATGTACTGCATTCGGAGAGATTGAGCAGCCCTCCATTATTCTAAAAGCGTTGTCCTTCCACAAAAGAAATCTGTCAGCAGTTACCCTAAACTTTTCTTCATATCCTCTTTTTTTTTTTTTTTTTTTGCTCCCTGTTTTTTGCAGGACTATAGGTTTTACTTTCCCCGAGTTTCTCAGGTACTGCATACCATTCCACACAGCCCCACCACCAGGCCAGCAGTCTGCCATATCATTGCAACATCTGTCGGCTTTTCTCAAGAATGTTGGCTTCTTACGAGCGAACACAGACCCTTGTCACAGTTTTACTTTTCATAAAGCTGTTTTCAAAATGTCCCCAGTTTGGCACAGTAGGTCCATCACGTGCTTGGACGCGCAACTCGTAAACAACAACTCTAAACTCCAAGAATATCTAAATTTAATGGTTCCTTTCAGCACAATCCTTTTCATAAGAACACAAGCAAACATATTTCTCGAGACCCCAGCATAAATGTTGCCCTTCGTTTCAACAAAAGATGCTATGCCGTCCACTCACAACTATGAACCCTAAAAATCAACAAGGTTAGTATTCGCCTTCAGTATAATCCTTTTCGTTAGCACACAACCAAGCATATTTCACGAGACCTCCACTGGAAACATTGTCTGCACTCTCACAAGAGGTGCTATGGCATCCACTCGCAGCAACTTTGATCTCTAAAAATCTACAAGTCTACCTTTCCCTTTCAATACGATTCTCCTTGTTAGCACACAATCGACCAGATGTCTTAAGACCCTAGCGGAAACACAGTGCTTCTTCTCAACAAAAAGTGCCGCGTCATCCACTCACATCCACCTCTCCCTGGTCAAGGACGTAAAAGTTGTCCCCCTCGTCGCCTTGCTGAATGATCACCTCCCCGGCACGATGAACTACGGGGAACATGGCGTCGAAGATGTCGCTGCAAGCAGGAATGTTACATCCCAATGTCACAGCAGCGAACTCGCGTCCCAGTGTTGTCGGCACGCTTCACTGCTCTGCAGTCAGTGCTGCGAGTTTGCCCACCAATGTAGTCGGTGATGGCACCAAGACCGCCGTAATCCCAGAAACGGTCACGGCACTAAGATCGCCACGGTCGCTTACGATGGTTACAGTACTAAGACCGCCACAATCCCTAAACCACCATGGTTCCTTAGTCTGTCATATGGTTCCTAAAGCTTCAAAGGTTCTTCTACCACCAGGGTTCCTAAGTCCACCACAGTTCCCAAAACTATCACGGTTCCTAAGGTCGCCATATTGTCCCCAAGACTGCCTGAGTTCCAAGACCACCATGGTTTCTATAACCACCATATGGTGCCTAAGGCTACAATAATTCTTAAGACTGCAGCAGGTCTTGGACAACCACAGTCCCTAAGGCTGCTATGGTTCTTAAAGCCAACAGAGTTCCTAACACTACCACAGTTCTTAAGACCGCCACAGTTAAAAAAAACTGCCACAGTTTGTAAGACCACCAGAGTTTAAAAGACTGCCGTGGCTCCTAGACCGCCACAATTCGTAAGACTGCCACAGTCCATAAGACCGTCAGAGTTCCTGAGACCGCAACAGTTCCCAAGACCACCATACTACCTAAGACTGCAACAGTTCCCAAGATCGCCATACTACCTAAGACTGCCATAGTTCCCAAGACTGCAATGGCTAGCTCCTAAGCCAGCCACTGCGGTCTTGGGAACTGTTTGATCTGTGACATACTAGGGTAGTAATTGAATTACTGTAATTTAATTACTTTATTGGTAATCTGCAATTGTAATAATTACTTTCATCTAAAGGAATTATAATTTTAATTTCTTTCTAGCATCAGTAATTGCAAAACTTCAGGCACAATTACAATTACTTTTGTAAATCTTTGCGATGCCGACGGAACCTCTCTGAAAGCCTCAGCGCTCGCACAAGCGGTCTAGCTCTCGGTGAAACACTCGCACACAGACACGCACTCACATACACGCACAACATAAATAGCATCACATTATTTCTTGTTTTGTTGCTTTCACTGCGGTCTGAGAGACAATCCTCTTCGGAGCCTACCTCAACGGCGCCGTGTTTACCCATTGCTTCCTGCGGTGCGAGCAGGAAACAATAGGGTAAACATGCCAAAATATTGAAAGAAAAAAAGATTAAGCTTCAGCTTTCAGCCGAGGTTGGAAATTTTATTTGTCTATATAAGGTTATTTTCCTTTCTTTTTTGCCAGGTTTTTATGTCCCGCTTTGTCGCATATTTGTATCTTTGTATTATTTTTAATTTTATTTCTTGTTGGTTTTACTTCGGATATTATTTGCATAAGCATTTTAAAGACTGACCTCGCACCTGTGAATATTGTCACCAATGATTCGGGAGCCCCGATTCGGTTCTTATATATTTCTGAACCATTATAATTTCAACTCAAAGTAAATAAATAACAATACAACAAAACAACGTTTGTATGTGAATGCGGTCGTATTAGTGCGTGTGGATTTTAGTTTTATATTAACACTTGTAAAATAGTCACACATGACTGAACATGATTATAAACCTGAGACTGGGGCAGAAAAGCGAACACAACAGAAGGTAGAAAAAGAGGAGGCAAAGTCAATTGAGACGTTGCCTCCTCTTTTTCTACCTTCTGTTGTGTTCACTTTTCTGCCCCAGTCTCAGGTTTACAATCATGTTCAACTTACACCAGCTCGCCTGCACTCTTGACTATTTTTACATATGACTGATTGTCGCATTTTAATTGCCTAGCTAAGAAACGTCTGTCAACAAATGTTTTCTTTAGCGGTCTGGCGTCTTCCAGCATATGAACTAAGTTATTATTATTTATTAAAAATATAAGAACGTAGAACTTCACTGTCCCAAACTGCCAAGTTCTATCATGAATTTAGCCAAATTCATGAAAGCAAAGTACAGTATGTGACATTTATGCAGCGAAGCTTAAGCCTCCTCAAACATTGCGTCAAGGAATGAACAAATATGTTGCATTCAATTAAACTCGTTTAAAGCTATATGGCCCAAGTCGGGTCGCTCTCAGAAATAAGTAATTGTAAAGTAATTGCATTACTTTTAAAAAGTAATTTGTAATTGTAATTAATTACTTTACATGCAGTAGTAATTGTAATTGTAGTTAAACTACTTTTGAAGCAAAGTAATTGTAATTGTAACTAAATTACATTTCGGAAGTAATTTACCCATGTATGATTCTGTGAAGACATCCTGCCAGGCATGGACTCGACTCGAACTCACCTGCGCTCGTTGTCGTCCAGATGTGAAAAGAGAACATTTTTCTCTATGGCTTTGGACAGGGCTGCCATTGTCTTGTAGTCCTTGGGGACCATCTGCAAGTCCAAGCAGCCTTTTTCCAGCGTTACCCGAAACACACAGGCATCACCTCAATACCCAGTACGCCGCTGGTCTCGGTGGCAAAAGTTAGACTTTGAGTGGCTTCGGGCGTAAAGATTCCCTGTTTGTGGAGACCCGTTTTCCAAAACTAGCATACTGTGGTCTTCCCTGCACTACAGTCAAAACCAAGCTGCCTGCCACCACTCGTCCAAGGCAGCACAAAACTTGCAAAATTCTAAATAAAAAAAAAGTGGAACATTTTTTTAAATTTTTACTATGTTCAGATTTGGAATAACTGGAGGCAGACAGAGAATCCGTCTGCCTAGAGTTAGGGCATTAAATGAGACTCCAACGGAAGCACTGCCAGTTAAACTTGGCTGAAAAACTTGCCCATTAAATTTAATGGGAAAAGGACATACATATCTCTGCGACATACCGTCTCTTTTCAGAATCACCCCCCTCCCCCACTCCCACCAGTCAGGAAACAAATTCTCCCTTAATCCCTTGGCTACTAATCAAGAGTGTCACTCATGCCCTCCATTACCATTGCAACAGTACCACACAATCAAAAACTTTTGAATGTACACATGGGAGCAACAAACACCACCTAGAGGCCAAATTAATGTTTTGTTTAATTTTATGCAAACTGGCAATAAAAAAGTTTTATAAAAAAAAAAGGTTTTATGCTTTATGAAAAATAAAAAAGTCTTCAACAATTGGTTAAAAAAAGAGGCACAAATTACTTTGCAATTTTCAACCAATTCTCTTAAAACAATTTTTGAAACTTTTCCCCTCTTAGCTTTCCTCCCCAACTCACAAATCGCACATTGTATGAAACAGTTCAAGGGGACGGAAAGGAGGGACTCCCCCTCTTGCTCGACCCCCGTTTGTGCACCTGGACACCACCATTCTCCCCCTAGAAGATTAGGCCGTCGCCCAAAACTCGGACAAAAATTGCTTTCCCCACCCAGTTCACCTCTAAGCTGATAGTGCTGTGGAAGCTACATGTTCGTTGCGCCAGTCACACTTTTGCCACATGATCACGCTCCCTCGCACATACCCAGGCGCAGAGCATGAGGGCAGGTGATGAAAGGGAGGTGGCTGATTGGTCCGGCAAGCGCATAGCTTCCACCGCACTGTCAACTTAAGGGTGAAGGAAATAAATGAGGTTCGATGTCGTGCTTTGGGTATTGCAGATGTATCACAGTCAAAAGGCAGAGAGCTTTCGAAGGGAAGAAAGTACGAAAAAGTTCACTGTGCTTTCAAATTTTCGTACCAAACATCAGGCTTATGATTTTCTACCTTCTTTCTTTTGGCCCACTAATTGATATGCTGTTAGTAAAATCCTAATCTAAATTAATTTATCCCAGCCCAAAATTCGTTTCATGGGCCCTTTAAGTGGGCAGTTGCATGAACGTGAATGGTCGAGTGGCACATACTGACAAGATCCACTTTCCGAAACCAACAAAAGGTACACAGGGTTTCTAGCAAACTATTATTTTGAAATTCCCCGACATTTCCAGGTTTTCCCTGACAATTTCAGGTGAAATTCCCTGACCACTGTAGAGGCGGATAGATATATAAGACCATTACAACACAAGGCATTCAGCATTAAGCACTATGAGGATCGTTTTGCACGGGCTTAATCCAAATTGCATATTCCGAAATATTCGGGTTCGTCCAGTCTTGATTAAGCAAGCACTTTCTTGCCGCCGACATCGTCGGTAAAGAGGCCACTTCCGGAAACACAATGAAAACACGACGCTCAACCACACGCATCAATAACCGAATGGCAGCATGGCTGCCAGATGCACACTTTTGGATACTCTCGGCTTAAGGCTTGGATTGGGGTCTGCAGCTTTCCCATTTGTTACTAACTCTAGTAGCTCTAACTGTATCTAGCCTAGTGCCGTGCCCTCAATCGAATCCAATCCAATCCAAGGCTTGGACTGGATTTGTTGGCTGTTCCCTTTGCATTGGGTAGCACACTCTACATCGGGTGAGCAGAGCCCGTGCTCCGCTCTAAGCAGAATTTATCGCCTCTTTTTCTGCTCTTAAGTCTGCAAGTCTTTGCTCAAGGCACTCGATGGCGTCTCCGGCTCATTTTCCCTGACTGGGCTTGCTTTTTGACGTCATCCCTGACAATTCCCCGATTATTCACGGTAATTATAATTTCCCTGACAATTCCTAGTTTTCTCGGTTGCTAGACACTGGAAAAGTTTTCATGACAAGGAACCAACCATTAAGGCTGGCTCCTCAGCACCATTTTCATGTTTCCTTACATTACGTATAAGTCACCGAAACATTAGAGTCTCAAATGTTGTGTATCAGGCTCTCTTCTTGAACTGGTAACCACACTCAATATGAAGCACAGATGTCCAGGTGACTTGTGGTGCAAGCAGACGCAAGCTATCGTAAAATATCCTATTGTAATTTATAAAAACAGGACAATCACACAAAAAGGAGCATCATGTTGCAGTATAAGTCCCACATCATAAGAGTATAAAATGTATTAAGTACTTATATTCTGCAACCTAAATCCTACTCACAGCCTATCAGTCACACACTAGTCATAATATGCGGTCACGCGGGAGCCCAGCCGCACTTAAAAAACAAAGCATGCAACGTTCTGAAGGGTATCACCAATTTGCCACTACCATGACTTGGGAAAGCATACATTTAAACAAACAGTTTCGGCGTCGCCCCTCATGTTTGAGGAGTAGCTTCCCATATCGACCCACCCTTATCAGATTTACACTTCACACGGAGAGCAACAATAGGTAAATTCTACCCAAGAAAGTTTGTGTGCACACCCACAGTGACTGCAAAAGTTTGCATACTTATGTAGGTCAATGTTGCCTACCTCAAAGGTCCCTCTAGGCCTCCTACCCTACGAGTAGGCAGCATGGGACTTCCCTTTAAAGCCAGGCTCACACATACATCTCGGTGCTGAGATAACCCAAAGTAGGTACAGCATTGTGTGTAAGCAAGAAAAATCTGGGTCACACGTATCAGAATGCTGATACAGCAGTTTCAAGTATAACGTTAGTGCTTGGTCTACAGCACTGCAGTATGTGTGAACAGGCCTTTATAGCCCCGCGGGGAAGGGAGTAGCCTCTCCTTGAAACCTAAACAAACAAAATATCTTCACCTTTTTGACGTAAGAAGTTGCATCCTCCTCAGAGTAGGTCTCGGCGCTGACTGCCCCGCGCCGGTTACGCTGGGGCGGCACGGGCAGGGGCGAGAGTTCGTCCTCCCGCTCCTCGCCGGGCGGGGTGGTCGCCATCGGCGAAAGCTGCTGCTGCTTCGCCTTCGTCGCCGCTTCCTGCAGGGTACCCAGCGCGACTCCTCACACCACGACGCAAACACCGCAAAGGGGGTAGCCTCGCACACCTACGCTCGCACCCAAACAACTTGGCACGACCTCCCACACCTTCAAGGCTTCCGCAGGGACAATGGACAATGGTTTACGCCGTCCTCAGGAGAGTCCACCCCCTTCTCGCGCCAACCTCTCGGCAACGGCGGTAAAGACACACGGCGGGAACAAACGCAACTGGCCGGCCTACCCACTTTTTCGTCGTCGTTGCACCCGGCACCAAAAGACACCCCCGCCGCCCAAACTGGCCGGCCTCAAATAACGACACCCTGGAGTGGGTGCTGCAGGCATCTTGGCACCTTCCCCAGAACGGATTCCTGTCCTCCTCGCACGCACGCATGTGGAACGCAGGTGCCCCGATTTGTGTTTTCCCTTGGGGGTGCGCTTAGGACCGACTTGCGGAGTCCGCAGCTCTTGAGAGGGGCTGTCTCTTTCCCTGCGCGCCGGAGCACTCCGTCGTCGTCATGTCCCGACGGGCGGGATCGTTCACCGGGCGACGGCAACAAGGTGAGTGGCCAGCGTCCGCCGTTGTCGCGTCGGTTCGACATGCAACCCCGGCTGTTTGCCGTGACTCGGTGGAGCGTTAAGAAGAGAAAGTGGACGGTTAAATCTGGTTCAAGCATTTGCGGTCGAGCGTGAGCAACTGGATAATGACTCCTTGCGCTGCGCAGACTTCGGTTGCTGTGGCAACCCTCCGGTTGTAAGCTTCCAAGCGGCCATGCACTCAAATGCAAACATCTGGACCGGCCTGCGCCGTAAAACACCCGAGCAAGCACACGTTGAAAATTTTGAGATAATCTTGAAAACCTGGCGAAGGGAGCCTGCTATACTTCGTTTCACCTCAAGTCCAGACTCGGCCGACGCTACGAGCTCATGGGATTGATTGGAAAGTGACAAAAGTGCACCATCTCAGTGTTCGTCATGTTTCTGTACGTGTCCTACCGTGGCTGATCCAATCGTAAACAAAAATGACCTAGTGACTTGCATCTTTGATGCCGTTTGACCCGTCCCATTGCCTCACAGCGTCGGCTGCATCTGGACTTGCGCTGAAACGAAGTATGGATGCGAGAGTGGAAACGCAGAAGGGGCACATGGTCGGGTGGGCTCCACCACTTTGCACCTAGGTGCTCAGAGAAGCGGCTGATGCGGAGGAGTATCTCGCATACCTAGGTGGGCTCAGAAGTAAGTTTAGTATGGCCTTAACTTTACTTTAAGGCAATTCAAAAGTAGCGGTTGACCGCTTACTGCAAAAGGGGCACATGTTCCGTATTGTATGGTATGGTAGTGGCATGCAACTGTGGGGGCAACCATACCTCTGTGTTTGTTTCCCTGGTTGTTGCGAATGACCAAGCGAATAGTTACATTCCAGTTAAAGCCGCATGTTACTATTGAGAAGTCTAACCGGAACCGTGGAACATTTTTTAGTTTGGCCAACTATGCCGAAAACGACTACCCGTCCAAAAAACATAGAATGAGAATTGATCTTTGCATAGGGCGCCGGGTTTCTGTCAAAAAGTATTATGTAAATCTAAAAAAAAAATAATAATTTTCTTCGTGACAATCTGCTTAATCCTGTTCGCACGGGGCTAAATGCAATGGGGCGTTACAGGGGTATGGAAACCAAATTCTGGAGCTCATTTCTTTACTTCAACATGACGTAGGAAGCAACAGAGCCTCCAAAACATCAATAATCCGTTGAAAAATGCAAGAAAACATCCAAAAACCACCCAGTGGATGTCTGTGAAGTTTCGATGGAATGCCATAATGGCATCGCCCTCCCAACGGCAGCACCACTATTTGGGAAGTACACTCACTAGTATGGATCCCCTAGGCTAGAATTTAATGCTGAAGGTTTGGTGAAGAAAGCCAAAGCACATTCGGCCATTTTCAATTCTCTCTGTCAGCTAATCGCTTCCACTCATTCTTTGACGTCACTGACGTCAGGGCTAGATGAACTATCTTTTCTAATGTGTCACGCGCTGCTTTCAACATTGTTTTCGCCGAGGGAAGCCGACCTCGAAGTGACCCGTGTTTACGTAGCAGAGGTGTGCCAACATCCACTTTTGTGCGCAGTAATTTCTGTACTACGATGTGAAATTTCATTAATCGCCTCGCCGTCGAAGTGCGTTGGTCTTGTCGCGTAAACCTTGCTCGACGAGACCAACAAAAGTGGTGCCGATGGCTTCTCTTCATTCCATTAGTTTTCACCATTGAGACAAGAGTTTCAAAATCATGGCAATGTGGGTGTTTTCTCGTAGTAGTTTTTGTGCGACGATGAGAGAATTGTAGTCATGTTCTCTATGCTCTGTGCCCCGTTTGCACAATTGCATAAGCTTCATCCGTCGAGATCAGTGCAAGCTTCCTTTCTTGCGAGATCAAATGTATGTACTACCTATAAAAAATGGTCGTTTACAAGATTAACAGTTTTTCGAGCCAAAAAAGACAGAATGACACGGAAAGAAAAAGAAAATATAAGGAATTCAAAATTGCTCGACAGATACCCGGCGGATAGAAAGAATAACTACGAACACCATGCAAAATGCACTAAAAGAAAAGAAAAAGGAGAGGGGAAGGTCGGGTGGTGGGAATCATATACTATAGTCAGTTACAGAAGAAAAGTTTTCGAGGAAAAGGAAGGATGAGGAGGAGGAAGCAGATTAAATGATGACGGGAGGAGGAGGTTTCCTCCTCTTTTCTCCAGCATTTCGTCTGCTTCCTCCTCCCCAACCTTCCTTTCCCTCAATATCTTTTCTTAACCTATAACTGACTATAGGTTGTTTTCAGTGACAAAATTTTGTCCCCCATTTTGTTGTTGTGTGCTGTTTGACATGCCGAAGACAAGCATTCCAAGGATTTGCAGGACCCCTTAGATGCATAGAGCACAGAAGCTTATAAGTCTTGCCACGCTGACATCTTCTCAACAGCTTGCAATGTAATCCTTCACATTAGTAAATTTGTTTGAAAAAACGAACTTACAACAAAATGGCGGATTGACGCCATGTGAAAACACCCTATAGCCGCAACTCAAATCATAAATGAAGAAACATGGGCTCGTTGAACGTCATAATTCAATTTGCCTCTATCCCTACAGCAGCCTAGCTACTGCCGAAAAAACATTTTTGCATAAATGATTCTTTATTTCTTTTTTTAAAGCAGTTCTTGACTTAAAATATGACTAGGTTGGGGCAGGACGTGTTTTTACACGCTTTCCAGGCACCCCTTCATATACGAGAATTTTCTCGGCATTTTTATTTTCTTTCTATTTATAAAGCTGCCCGACCCCCCAAGCTCATTTACCCGACAAACACTTAGTAAACATATTTAAGTCTTTCCCTTTTTTCTTCTATTTCTGCTTGCTCCCCTCCAACTTCTTGTTGCGCGCGTAGCGAAGCGGTGCTATTAATACAACCTCTTTAAAAATGTTGGAAAAATTGCCAATTTTTTGTTTCGTTGCTTTATGATCCTTTTTTTTTTTTTTTTTTTGCGACGATATATTTTTGACGGGTCTCACAATCACCTCGTCCTTCATGCAAGCCGCGAAAACTGGGTATTTTCTAGGTTTTATTACTCTTTTTTTTTTTTTACCCCCTTTTAGACGTCGAGATTTTGCGTTGAAAAATTGATAAACAAAAAACAAAAATGGATAAGAGTGCAAGGCCTAAACAAATTTGCGACTAATCCGACGAAAGCGTCTCAGCGAGGACCGGAATACGACGAACGTAAACCCAAGTCAGACGCTGAATTCGGAAATAAACGATCGCGATCGAATCCAATATCCAACGGTTAACCGGACGTTTTCGATAGCAGATCGTCGATCACCGCAAACGAACATCGGAGACAGAGGTTGGGGAGGATGGTGTTGTTTACCTTTTCGAGTCGCGCGAAGTACTCCCGCAGGAAAGAGACCGGATTGTCCGGCCTGCTCACGCATAGCTGAACGATGCAGTCCTTTAGTAGCTTCTGAATGTTGTGTTTCTGAACGTAAAGCTCGCATTCCCGCAAGCTTTGCTCTTCCTCCTGCGTGGACGCCATTTTGGATTCTCGAGGTACTTTTCGCTCTCGTCGTCTGCGCTCGATGTGTCGCTACGCCTGCAAGTTTTGTTTTGTTTACGGACCGTTTATAAACTTTATTTGCATTTTAACTAGTTCGAAAGCGGCGAATTAGCTTATTTTTTCATTTCTAGATTGCGTCTAAAATTAATGCAACCGTGCGGACGCAATGCAAGCGCTTTCGCGGTTGATGACTTACTTTTTATCGCGGATGCGGCGCGAGAGAAACTGCGCAATCGAGTTGCTCGGCCGCGCATGCGCATTCGGCGGCTTTTATGCGGTCTTTGGTTGCCTTGCTCGTGGGAGAGAATTTTAAGCTCCTTCTTCGTCGCCATTACGTCGTTCTTGCTTTCAAGAGGATCGGCCCCGCAAAAAAACAGATATTCGCGTTTAACAATCAAGTTTCGTTAATGTGTTCTTCTGCCAGGTGTTCCAGGTATTCCCGCAAACGGAGTCCGCACCTCTGATGGCCGCAGTTCAAGCGTTTGATCAAGTCCCCTGCCCGAACCTTTGGGAGTGAGTTCAAAACGTTCGACTCGCTGATTTAACAAAAATGTATACTATTCGACACTCGTTTTCTGTCAGTCTGTGACTAATGTGTGAATGATTTGGCGCTGGTTTTAGTCAAATGCAAGGCCGACGATTGGCATGCTCGTTCCAGCCCTCGGAGCACGTACGATAGGCCTAAATTTCGTTCGGCAAATTTTGCAATTCATACCTTATCAACGTCGGTGCTACCCGATATCGTGATAATAAAGACATTAGAAGGATTACGATAGACGTAGGAACATCTGAGCCCGTGGCAGGTTTGACTAGTGCCATGGCAGCTCGTGAAAACCCGTTGAAACCGGTCCCATGCGTCGACTAGCGAAAAGTAACTTTAGAAGTTCTAGCAGACTTGAAATAGGAAGAAAGAAACAAGTAATTCGAGCTCGCATTATGCCTTCAGCTTCACCCAATCCTTCAAACGACGTCGACAGCTTTTGAGTTTGTCCCCCGCTGCGGAGTAAACTGTCGGCGGCTTGGCACAAGCTCATTAGTGTGTGACCAATTAGTCTGCTCATTAGGGCAGACACTTAACCTTTTTTTTTTTTTATCATTTCATGCGGACCTTGTTCGAGTCGTTATTCGCTGTTCATGAACATTGGACCCTTGGATGGGACTTATAGGCCGTTGATATAATTCTGTAGGTTTTCCAATTCCATAAACTGACCACACAGCTTTTTTGTGTGTTCTTCACTTCCTGCACTGAGCTACAAGTTGAGTTGAGTTAAATAAGCTTCTTAGAAACACATGCCGAGGAACGGGAATATGCATATGGCTGACCTAAAGGCACTTAGAGTATGGCCAATGAATGCAATTTCTGGGGGTGTTAAATTCAAATAAAATTCAAAGCATTTATTTGCATTTGCAAGTACAGATGCTGGTGACAGGAACAAAAAAAAGCCAATCTTTGTTGGCTTGACTGGCAATCTGTTCTGCCAGGTTAGCGTCACAGCCATTTTGATATATGCTTTGCACCTACATCACATACTGGCAGCGTCCATATTGGTGTTTGCAGCGAGGGCTCTAATGAACTCTGCTGTGTTCGGCTGGAGTAATCGCTTCCAAGCAAGAAAGATGACACCAGCAATGTTGCACGCTTTGAATCGGCTCCCACTCCGATAATTGACAAGGATTTGTAGATGAAATAATTTACTAAATATGGCTACTTTTTGCTGCATATGCTTAATTGAATGGTCTTCTGGTTTTTTTTTTGGGGGGGGGGGGGGGGGGGGGGGGTCAACTGTGCGGCAAACCATGGCTTAAATAAGCATTGTTGGTAAGGCTCTTGGCTCCCTCAAGGTTCTTGTGGTGGCAAACTTCATAATCGCGGTGTCACCATAGCACTGTCAAAGCTAAGGCTTGTCCCGAAAGATGCACTTTCACATGCTCCGGAGATGGAAATAAAAAAAGCATGTCTCCACCAACAAGGCAGGTTGCGACGCAAAGTGATTGGCTCCCGCTAGCTAGGAGATACATGCACATGAAAACGTTGCAACCCCCTGTGAATGCAACGCTTGCATTGTTTAACGGCGCTTTGCATACTCAAAAAAGTAATATCTTACCTTGCCAACAACTACAACTTCTTCACTCGCAAGAATTTTCAGTCGTGGTTCCTGCACCGAGGCGCTTGTCAAGCAGTTGTGGAACTCCGGGCATTTGTGTGCTTTCAACTTTTTCAGCGAAAGAAAGCTTGTTTTTGCAACACGGTGATCTTTAACGTCTTCAACCTTCAGACCACGCTTGCTTCGGCCATGGTCTCTTCGTCTGTTAGCAAGAGGGATCCTTGCCGCCGCACATCGATACTTTGTGCTCGTATTGCAAACGCATCGATGCCGGCAACTTCCGCGTGTAAATGCTCAACGTCACCATTGCAAGTGTGCGTGAAGACTGCATACCTTTGTGAAAGAAATGGTACGCATCTGCATGCACCTGCTGCAAATGGCACGCAACGCCTTGGCAGGCGCATACGCGTGCCGTGCGCAGTCGGCGCAGTCAACCTCCAACATGGCGCAGTGCCCCGCACCTTTCCTGGTGCGACATCACATGCAAAGAATGTATATGGTTCTTGCGTATGACGTCTCGCTGCACTGATGGTCATTCATACTTGTTCTTGACGAGGGGAACAAATTCGGTGGTATTGAATGGAAGCTGCAGAAGGTACGGCACTCGGCAGCAAGACCTCCGCATCGACTGCTGATGGGGGCATCGGTGCATGCATGCGTGCACAGAGCCACCATGTTTTCTTTTTTACCCAAGCACTTTAGTGTCCGTGAGATTGTGATGTTTCACGGATGACGCTTCTGTGTTCTGATGTCATCGGCGTTGTAAAAGCTCGTGATATCCTCGCATGAACACTGGTGGCTTCTTATGACACTTGCGTCCCGTGGCCATGTGCTTTCCTGGTGGTCGCGCAACTCCAGAATGTCACTTGAAGTAACGTCATTCTTTTTATTGAGGTTGGCGTCTCGTTAATGATCCATGTTCATCTCATTGATGAGCTTCACCAGTCGGCTTTTTGTCTAACACATTATGATTGAAATCTCATTTATTGATGAGGCCCTCAACTAATTTGTCATTCAAGTTGGGTCCTTCTATTTGTTCTAGTTTTCTTTGCCCTATAGTCTATGCTCTATGCAAGTGAAAGGCTAAATCAACTCGCAGGCTTTGACAGTGCTGTATCTTAAAAACAGCTAGCGCAAAGGACAAGGGCAAGTAGAAGACTCGACAGGACAGGTGCTACTTTCAACTGACATTTTAAAAAGGAGACAGAAAAGGAAAAGAACAGTTTTCTACTTGCCCTTGTCTTTCATGCTAACCGTTTTTGAGACAACCAACTAGGCCATTAATTTCTATGGTTACAGTGCTCTACACTATGCGTGAGACGAAATACCATGGAAGTACATTGGACGTCTACCATCGAGAAGTGGAATCAACATGCTGTGAATTTTCGGAGGACCAGCAGAGACTAATAATTCACCAATATCTTTTTTCCTTGTGACATGCGTAACTCTCACTTGCATTTGGCGAGTGACAGTTTATTTATTTTATTTATTTATTTCAAGTAGTACCCTCAGGGCCACGAGGGCTTCATTTGTCTGTGGCAAGTTGTGATTTCAAACTCTGTTAAGGTTTGCTACCTTTGAGAAGTGACATTAGCAGACTGTTTAATTTCAGAAGGGTGTCAGAACTGGCGGAAGCTACCAGAATAGTTAAGTGCAATTGATGTCGTCTGCTAGGCGCCGTCTTTGAAGGGAGCCGTTAACAGAGTGGAACCCATGTCGGAACTTGTGGAAAGTTGTTATTGGGCATTGTTTTTCTTTCATAACCTGCACTGGACGTGTAAGGCAACCGGGGCCGTCTGCTGGGCACTAGCGTCGAAAACGACGTTAGCAGACTGGTTCATCTTAAAGAGTGTCTCAACTAGCAAGAGGTAGTAAATGGTTATTGACATCATATTGTTTCATAACCCGCGCAGGAAGAGCGAGGCAACGGGCATGGCCGACATGCAGGCGGCGCCGGTGGATCCCAGCCAGGCCTGGGAAAATGCCCGCAAGGCACTGGAGAAGGTGCAGACAACCGCTGGCAGTAGCCCTGCCAAACCCACCGCCGGAGCCGACATGGCCACCGGCTATGCAGGTGGCTATGGGTACGGCTACTGGGGACAGCAGCCGCAGCAGCAGGGCTGCATGTACCCCGGCTACATGGGGTGCGTAGCTTCCTTTCTTTTTACAGCAGAGCTGTAAGGGCTAGTTTCCCCAGTATTGTGTCTGCGGGCAAACAAATGTCGACACAAGACTCTGGACAGCTACCACCAGCCTTTCCACTCTGGCTTGCCGACTTGCAAGCGGCCATTACTTCATTCCCACTATAGTACAGCTTCGCTGGTCTTCTTCCTTCACCCGAGAGGAGAGGCTGAATGTTTTTCACCAGCATATGCTGGTGGCTTGTGTCCAAATTTCTCTAATTTGACCGTGGAAACAGACTGCCAGTAAAAAGCATTGAATTTCGGAATAACTCTTTTTTTCTCATCTTTTTAATTTTTTTTTTTTTTTTTTTTTTTTAACTTGGGGTAAAACATTGGTTTGTGAGTGGGTCCTCCCCCTTTGTTGGCGTAGCACAGCAAAACCTTCTTGAAAGTGTCGAAGCTCTTTAAAAAGTAGCGGTCTTTGGTGTTGGCATTGTTTGGAACGTTTTCGAATTCTTTTGCTAGGAGCTTGCACAAACCACGTGCTCATTGTGGCGTACCTGTCATTTGCCGCACAGGTACAACGGTTACGCTCAGTCTCCCGGTCCGGGAATGCCCGGCGGCTATGGCTACTATCCGCCCTACGTAAGTATGAGAGTGGCGGTCAAGGCCGTTTGGTCCTTGGCGTATTGTTTTGCACGGTCACGAGTTGTTTTGTGGAGCAGTTTCAATGTGTAGGCTGCTGGATTTTGTTGCCCACTCTAGAACTTTGATATCCGTCGCATGCGTTTACTACTTGTGGCAGACTTGTTCTCATAACTGTCCGAAGGTGATGCAAGCGTTCAATGGAGGGTGGCCAAGGCAATGTATTGCCCGGTGGCTGTTCAGGTGTGAAGTGGAATGATGGTGCATAGAACAGGGTGCAACAATGGATGGATGCAAATGGGCAGTAGCTCGTACCACCTAGCCTAAAAACCAGAAGTATGATTCATCCCATCGACCTTCTATGCCAAACTTGGCGTAAACGTGCAGTTGTAGGATGCTTTTTTTTTTTTCGGTAAATTAGTGGTGTACTTCTGTTTCGACACCAACTTTGAATTTTAAGATTTGTTGTTTGACGTTCTACTGTGCGAGAAAAGTGTGATAGGTCCGCACTTCGTGCTTGCACTGCATACCTTGCATTGTGCCAGAACAGAAATTCACGAGCGGAGGTTTCCAAAGCGAAGGTGGCAAAGATACCGTTCCCTTCTATGGGCCTTGTATTTTATCTTGTGAAATGAGCAGGCACTCTTGTAAGTTCTTCCGTTTTTCTTATTTGAATGGAGCCAATCTGCTTTGCGACCGGGTCTCCTTCGTTCGTCCAGTTTTATTTCCACGTTGCTTTAAGGGGGGACACTACCTTGAATTGCACTTTTTTTTTTTTTCAAAAAAATGCATATTCAGAACTGCAGAGTTTTGGCATATATGGATAACAAAGAACACTCTCACAAAGTCTTGTCAATGTGCACTAACAAACAATGTCAAAAATAATTATTCTTCATATGTTGGTGAGGTGGCTGCACTGCGTAGCACTCGTTTTCCAAAAGTGAAAATAGCTGAAAGCGATGTCAGCAAGCAATGTCGGCATATCAGAAGTTTGAGGAAGACATCACCTACACTGCTGGAAAGAATTTCTGACATTTAAGATGTAAAAAGAAATTTTTGAAACGTCATCTTGAAACTTCAAGTGCATTTTTTTCAGCTTCACTTTTTAGTGTCAAATATCAGTTTAGGAAAGCTATCATTTCATAATCAAATTCTGCATGCAGATATATTTTGGTTTTTCTATATTGAAATTTTCTGGAGAACACTAGTGTGAACTTACTTTCTGCATTTTATGCTCTTTTGTTATGAAAAGTTTATATTTCTTTTAAAGGGGCGGTGCAACGATAGTCAATTGGAATGTTTTTCACTTTACACGGGCTTACTGGCACTAGTGGGACTCAAGGATACCCGCACGCAACGCCACTGACCAAGAAACTCCTTTGTTGCACTGTAATTTCGAGGACAAAACCGAGCGTTTTCATTCAATCTCTCCTTCGCAAAACCTGATGACGTAGCTGGGCGGTAGCAGTACCGCCCAGTGACGATATTTGAATGCGGCTCATAGATTGGACCCGAGCATTGCGTCGGCACTCGATGTGGGCTCGTGATAATCTATAGTTCGAGAAGCATTCAGGTAGTATCCTGTGTCCAGTCCGCTGCAATGACGACAACAGCCGAATCATAACAATGTTTGGAACGCAGCGCGTGTCCTGTGCCTTGCCAAGCCTATGATCAACATTGGCGGCACATAATCGGCTCCAGATCACGTGGCCGCTTGTTCTGGCTGCGAGTTGAGGCAATGAACTCTGCTTGTTTTTTTTTAATTTTTTTACTGCGACTTCGATTGCGTGTGGTGAAAAACGAATGGGTATTTCACAGGTCATTAACGTCAGGTATCCGCTCTAAGCGGTATTTCCGCAAAATACAAAACTCGTTGCATCGCCCCTTTGATCAAATGTACACCAAAAAAAAAAAAAAAAACTTTTTTCCATTATTTTTTTGTAAATAAATTTTATTATTTTTGAAATTCCTTTTCATAGTCGTCTGAAGTAAGTATTTTGCTGTATGTTCCAGCAAAAAAACTGGCCATTTTCATTATCCTTTTTAAACGATAGCTTTCCTCAGCAGATACACTTTTTTTATTATGAACTTTTATGCAACTCATTGTGGGATAAATTTATAGGGTTGAAAATTTCCACAGCATCCTTGTCCAGTGCTATGAATACACCCTGCAAATTTATGCAAATAAGACAAACGGTTCAAAAGTTAGCCTTCCGGAGTAGTGTTTCCCCTTAAAAACAAAACTTGAGTTGATGGTCGGTGCTCCGATCGTGCACACTTCGTTCTCTTTAGTCGCTGACGAGATGAACTGACAGGGTGGTTCTTTAGTTTTCCCACCTTCGGCGCTAGCTTTATAACTTCAATAACACTGGGGTGTCTCAAACAAACTGCATAAAAAAAAAAAAAAAAAGCAACGAGTGCATGCTTTTTTTTTTTCCTCTCTCTCTTTCTTTTTATTCTTAACACACTTTCATCATAATCTTGGATATTTTTTCAGGTTGTGTCGTCTTTTGCTTACCTGCAGCCTTGCGGCTGTGTCGTGTCTGGCACTCTCCGGCTCGTTTGCCTCTCCGTTTATTAATACAGTTTCATGCTTTTCCTCGTTGCCTCGTTTTGTGTTTTGTCACCGATCACATTTGGCCTCCGGCTCGCCCTCCGTCTCGCAGGACATGTACAACGGGGGCTACTACCCGGTCCCCTCGGCAATGCCCTGCCCCCAGACCCCGGGAGGGCCCTCCCCCAGGGGCGGGGCCCAGCAGACTCCACCCCCTCCCCCCGGGGAGCAGCCCGTTCCCCCGCCCCCTTCGGAGGACGGGGAAGCGGGTTCCGACCCCGGCCAGAACTCGCAGGCCCCGCTTGCAGGCCCACCGCAGGGGTACGGCGGTGCCGGCAGCTACGGTCCCGGCCCGGGCTATGGATTCTACTACGGCTACGGCGGCAACGGCATGGGCGGTCCCGGTGGGGAGGGGCCCCAGCAGAGGCCGCCACCCCCGCAGTTTGGCGGTGGCATGCACGGGAAGCGTGAGTGTCCTTGTGGGGGGGGGGGAGGGGCTTGGCGGACTGGGGAAGGGAGGAGGAGCAATTTCAGTTGAAGGGAATGTGAGCTGATTGTACAGTCATAAGGGGCATTCAGTTAGACTCTGAGGTTGTCTATTTATGGTGATAACTCAATCTACAGGCTCTGAGCATTCTAGCAAACCTGAAATTGCACTCCTGGGCAGATTTCCCTATTAAAAGTCTAATAATAGATTATGATATGCCCCTCTCTCTGCGCCTTGGAGCAAAATTGTTGGACGGCCCCTTCAAACAATAACTGCTGTATTACGTGCCAAACTCTCAAGGATTTGACGTTTTTGTCCAAGTATAACGTGCAATGAGCCTCAAAAGAGCGATAACGGTAATGTTCAGAACAAGCCAATACGGCTTGTTCCGCACCACGACGGCGGGAGAGTCTGCCCGTAGACTCCACACAAAGACTTGCCAAAAAGGTAAACGTGTTCAAATACTGTACAAGCCATACGGGTCAAAGAACCGGCCAAACTTGTTCAAAATATTAATGGCAGTTTACCATTGAATTTGGAAGTTTTCAGGATTAGATGATGCCCCCAAAAGTAAGGAGTACATTTCTCTTATAAAAGAAAGGTTCAGAAGGGCATTAGAACTTCTATTTTGTTTTCTCCTTGCATTTGGCTAGAGAAAATTTGGAGCCGCGACGAAGGAAGTGATTTTTCGGTTTTGTGCCCTTGTTTGCGCGACTGCAGAGGCCCCGGGTGCAGGGGGCGTCCGCTTCAGCCTGCCCAAGCGGGGCCCCAAGGGCAACAAGTTTGGCAGGGGCGGCTTCCAGCAGGGACGCATGATGGGACCTCAGCAGCAGGGACCCCCGGGACCCAACCAGGAGCGATGGGCGCAGAACGCTGCGCAGAGGCTGGAGGACCGCATGTGAGTGGGACGTGGTGCGCTCATTTCCACGGGGTGTAATGCGTTCAAGGCGCAACGCCTGGAACACATCGGGTTTGCTCGGAATGCGCCGTCAACTGGCGCATTTGTCTAGTTACCTTACCTGGTACATGTTGAATGGCGCGTATGTTTAGATGCAGCATATCCATATGCGGCACTCGGACGCGTTATCAAACAGCCTAGGCACAATGCCTTAAATGGGTTGTCAAATGGCATGTTTGTCTAGGCATTGTACCCTGTAATGCATTGTCAAGTGGCGCATTTGCCTAGGCACACCGCCTGCGATGTTCCAACTGACACGCTTGCCAAGGCACGGCCGTCTGGGACGCGTTGTCAAATGTTGTGTTGGCCCAGGCACAGACAGTGCGTGGAATGCATTGTCGACCCCTGGGTTTGCCTCGTCTTTGTTTTTTTTTCCATTCGGTCTCCTGTTGCCAATGTTGTACCTGCATAATAGCGTGAATCGCCACGATCCTGGCAGTGCCACAGTAGCATCGGTGAACGCTGCCAGTCCTGCTGTAAAGACTGGTGCGGAGTGCCAACATCAGTGACCCATAAAATAGCTTCTGGTATCCTATAGCTTTTTTGCACCTGCCACTTTTTTTTAAAGTGTGCGAGTGCTATTTATGTATAACTCAGACAAAAAGTGCAGGCAAAACCTCCAAAAAATCAAATTTATGCAAAAAAAAAAAAAAAAAAAGTTGACCTTGAAAAACGACATCTGTACCTCAGCCAACATCTAGAGAGTACTCCCACAAAGTTTCATTTGTTAAAACTACATAGTTATTTCTTGGCAAATTATTTTCAGTCCACCAATGCTAAAGAAAAAGAAGAGGTTCGAGCACTTCGAACACTTTTTTCTCTGTTCCACTTCTTGGCATAAATTTCACTTAATAAATCTATCATTTCAGTATGAAACTATCGAGACTTAATTTTTTCAGCCTATATGCTAAAATTTAAAGGGGCACTGACTCATCAAAATCTTTTTATTTATTTTATTTATTGATACTGCAACCCCTGAAAGGGATTTTAGCAGGTGGGTATACACTTGATTGACAAGACATGCAGGCATACAAAATAGCAAACAAGTCGCAGAAACAAACAAACAAATATTTTTCAGAGGGACAAAACTAATTTAGAAGGGATTCAAATAAAGATGATGGCTGCATAATGACACTTTCAGAAAGGCTATTCCAATCAGTTACCGTTCGCGGAAAAAAAGAGTACTTGAAGCAATTATTGTGTGATCGAAAAGGAGTTATTGTTAGCGCATGCCTCTGACGAGTAGCGTAGCCTGATGAGAAGTTTATTAAGTGAGACAGATCTATCCTATAATGTCCATTTATTAATTGATAAAAAATTTTAGTCGAGAATGCTGATTTCTGAGAGATAATGACTTTAAGTTGGCTCTGGTTAAAAGTTCTGTTATAGAGGTTTGTCCGAAGCTATTGTAAATGTAGCGAACTGCCTTTTTCTGCACACGATCCAGCTTGTTAATGTTTAGTTTGGTGAAGGGATCCCAAATGATAGCCGCGTAATCTAATGTTGGCAAGACTATGGCTTTATATGTTAAAAGACGCAAGGAAGGGGTAGAAAGTTTTAGAGTCCTTCTAAGAAAGACAAACTTTCGAACAGCATTTGAAGTTACGTAGTCAAGCTGTTTTGTCCAAGTAAGATTATGAGTGATCCATAATCCAAGGTATTTATATTGTGTTACTTCTGATAGAAGAATATTATTAGTATTGTAAACAAATTTTAAAGGATTTCTTTTATGTGTAATTCTCATAAAAACAGTTTTTTCAAAGTTAACAGTCATTTGCCACTGCGTACACCATTCCGTGATTTTTTTTAAAAGCTCTATTCAACAAAAGCTGATCGGAAGTACTAGCTATTCCTGAGTAAATTATACAATCATCAGCGTATAACCTGATTTTTACCGGAACATCTTCTACTATATCATTAATAAACAACAAGAAAAGGAGAGGTCCGAGCACAGAGCCCTGGGGAACGCCAGAGTCAACCGAAAGTTGTTCAGAGCAATATTCACCATAAACTACAAATTGTCGACGATTTGAAAGGTATGCTGAAATCCATCTAACTAACTGTGTGTTCTTACATATTTTTTCCAATTTGTATAGTAACTTTTTGTGCGAGACCTTATCGAATCTTACATATTTTTTCCAATTTGTATAGTAACTTTTTGTGCGAGACCTTATCGAATGCCTTCGAAAAATCCATAAAAATAGCTTCAATTTGTTTTCTATTGTTTATTGCCCACGAGAAATCGTGAACAGTTTCAATTAATTGAGTACATGTTGAAAAACCTTTTCGAAATCCATGCTGATTTTTAGTCAAGATGTTGTGTTCGTCTAGGAATTTTGATAAATGATTATATATTATATGTTCAAGAAGTTTACAAGTAGTTGAAGTCAATGAAATTGGACGGTAATTTTGAATGCGGTGCTTGTTTCTGTTCTTATGAAGTGGTTTGACTCTGGCAGTTCTCCAGTCGTCTGGAACCCGACCTTCGGACAGCGATCGTGAAAACAAAACAAAATTTTTATTATCCGAAACGATTGAAAACAATGCCGGACATTACCCTCAAAATTTGAAATTTGGGAATTCAGTATTTGTGAAGTAAAATAACAATTTCCAAACAATGAATTCGAAGTTCCCGCGCGATCCGTGCCAGTGCGTTGATGTCAAATATTGCGGAGTCCTGAGAGTCCACTTTCTTTCATGACTCCCTGCTGTTGCCATGGCGACTCAAAGCGAGGAGAAAAGGAGCGAGCGTCGGTGTTGGGAGGGGGGGGGGGGGGGGGGGGGCGGGCGGGCGGGCGGGCGGGCGGGCGGGCGGGCGGGCGGGCGGGGCGGGCGGGCGGGCGGGGGGCCAGTTTTGAGCGGTGTCGCCTGTTTTTCCACGGGAGGATACAAATCCAGGAGACAGCACCACAACGAACTCCCGATTTTTGGTATTTCAAAAAGAAGGGCCATAGTGCTTTCACAATTGCGTTAGAAAACATGTTTTAGGATTGCCGTTATTAAATGTTATAGAGATGTCGCCTACAAAACTTCTAAATTTCATGATTCTTGACGTCACGAATCAAAAGAAGCAAGGAGGCTAGAGGTGAAAGAATCAAACAGCAAAAATAAAAAGGCGCGCGCCGCAAAATTTTTTTCGCAATGCGGTTTTTTTTTGCATGTCTCTGACTGCAACTTGCATCGTTTTAGACAATAAAAAAAATACGACCTTTGGGGTGTCAGTGCCCCTTTAATGACATAGATTTTGCATTTTCATGTTACTTTTTCATTATATATTTTTTTCTAAAATGTTTTATAGTATTTGGCAACAGGTGTTCCAGTATGCAGTGCGCCATAAAAAATATGTGGTTATCAACACAATTTCTCAACAATAGGCGATTCAATGAGCAGATTCCAATGCAAGCTATGCTTTACTTTGTTCTGGGGGTATAGCACCTCATCATAAAATTGGCTTACAGGACTGAAACTTTGTGCATGCCATTCTTATGTATGGTTACGAACACCACCCACAGATTTCACTATGATTGAGAGAGCAGTTAAAAAGTTGACATTCCCGGGTAATGCCCCCATAAAAGATTAATTTTTCTTTTTTATTATTACAGGGCCAACCTGACCCCCCACGGCCGTGACTGGCCAGAAAGCCTCAAGTAAGTACTTGTTAAATGAAGTGTCAATTAGTTTGTAAAGCATGACACAGCATCACGGGTAGGGAGAAAAGAAAACATCTAATTTCGAAGAACACGAGCGGTAGAGACAAGGCGGACAATCCGTTTTGTAGTACGTTTCTCTTTGCGTTCTGAAGCGACGCAAACTCGTTTGTCCGACGGGATGCTGAACGAACCCTCTTCCTCGTCGTGCTTTCAGACGCTACGCCATGCGTGCGTTTGGCAAGTGCAAGTCGGATCTCGACAGGGACCAGGTGGAGATTGTGCTGAAGGGGAAGCTGATCAAGATGCACCGCGGTGGGGACATGTGGGCCATGGACTGGGACAACGAGCCCCTTCCCAGGTAGTACACCCCTCCCTTCAACGCCCATTTTACGCAGAGCAATTTAGGGCTGCAACTTCACCGCAAACGAAAAGGTTGTCCATCTCTTCAATTAATCGATCAATCCGCGTTTTATTGTGCCCCAAACAGCTAATGAGGCCTTTGAAGGGTTACACTTGCGCAAAGTGAAAGACGAGCAGACCAAGATATTTTCACACTACAAAGTGAGCTTCGTATTGCACTTCTTTTTAAAAGGTGCAAGGGCAGCGAAAAGGTTCACATTAAGGTTAAAATACTCGTCATACATGGTCTGCATCCGAGTAGACGAAGAACTAGATTTTAGGTTGGGTAAGAAAAAAAACGTAGATTGGTTTTGTTGCTGGGGAACATGAAGTGAGATTCTACTCAAGAACGGGGGAATCAATAGCATTGAGCAGTTTTTAAAAGAGTGAAACTATGCCGCGAACTAATCGTCTATTCGAAAGACCAAATGTATCGAAGAGACGCACATAATCATAAAGAACTCCGTCCAATGTTGCAATCATAAATACCGTATTTACACGCACAATGAACGCACCCCCAAGTCGGCTCTCAAAATTTCGACTTTTTTTTCACATGCGTAATAAACGCACCCCCAACTCGGACGTAAAAATTTTGATCCCCTCCCCCCACACGCGCGAAATGAACGCACTTTTCTATCCTGGTGCAGCGAGGTCACGAATGCATGGGCAGCGTGCGCGAACAAAACGCCTTGCAAAAGGCGTTTAAAAAAATTCGCAAAGATCCAACGGAAGCAAAAAAAAAAAAAAAAAAAACATGGAGAGGAGCTTTTTTTTTTTGCACAGCTCAGTCTGGACTTTGGGTTCGCGCGCCGCCGCCCGCGAGGAGGTAAGAAAGAGAGGCACTCGAAGCGAACGAAACAGCTTGCGAAAGGCGGCAAAAAAAATAATCTCTGAACTAAGAGAAAATTCAAAACAAAGAGGAGCTTTTTTTCTTTTTTGCACAGCGCAGTTTGGCTAGGGGGGTCGAGCGCTGCGTGCAAGGAGGTAAGAAAGAGGAGCGGAGAAGCCCTCTAGGCAAACGAAACAGCTTGCGAAAGGCGGCAAAAAAAAGAAAAAAAAAACCCACAGAACTGGGAAAAAAACAAAAAAGAGGAGCTTTTTTTCCTTCTTTTTTTTTTTTTTTTTTTTTTTTTGCACAGCGCAGTTTGGTTACGCGCAAAGAGATAAGAAGTTGGATTTTTCAGGATAAAAGGTGTGTTCATTATGTGAGTAAATACGGACAAGTACGACGCAAAAATTTTACTTCGCCTAATGAACGTCCCCCCCAACTTTTCATCGATTTTTCGGAAAAAAAAGTGCATTCATTCTGCGAGTAAATACGGTAATTCTTGGAAGTCGTTGCCGTACGCACTTAACCGTAGCATTTGACTGAAGGCCAGAGAATTTCGTACAATAAAAGAAAAGTTCGACCTTGACAAAACTCGAGACCGAAATACGTGGAGTATGCAGGTGTAAGTACGGAAATTACAGGTAAACGTTCAATTGTTGATAATTTTCTAAACGTGCTACTTAAAAGTCAGGCACGAGTCGGTCAAAACATTAAGGGCACATACAATTGAACTTCTTTAAATGTGTGAGTCGTGCAATTTATAGGGATGGACAATTACATTTGCCTTACAGGAGAAAGAGACAACCTTAATTTTAGTGGGGTTTAAAAGCAGCGAGTTTGTGCAACACCACAGGCGAATCGCATCAGTATCGTTTTGTAACAGTTCAATCAGCAGGCGTGTGGATACTACGATAAATTGACTTGGAGATAAAGTTGGGAGGCACAGGATGTGCGGCGCAGTTTGAGCTGCACCCAATATTGGCTTCTTTGAGCATGGGAGTCTGCCACATAAATCGTCTGCAACCCAGTGTATGCTTCGGTTCCAGCATATGCTCATTGCTTTCTGCCTTGCTCTGGCTGCACGTGCGTTGATGTGCTGTCAAAGGCTGGAAGCTGGTGCCCAAGGCGGAGCATCAATTCGGTTCTTAATAACCTGTCACCAATTGCCTCCTCTATGACATGGTTGCATAGCAGGCTCTCCCGTAGCGTTAGAGAAGTTTTGTGATCAGTGGCATATTGAAGGACGCTGGCGCCGGTCTACAGATTCCCGAGTGGCGGATTTGAATCCCTGCCGAGGTGCTCGCAATCTTTGTGGAAAAGGCGCCGTGTAGTCGAGGTTTCGATTGCACGTGAAAAGGTCCCCCGGTGGCTGAAATCGATTCTCGGCCCTCTGCTGGGTCATGCCAGATGCCCTTCCTTGGTTTGGCATTTCAAACCTCCAAATTTTTATTTGACTCGTCGCCGACTACAATTGTACGAGCCACAACTTCCAAAGTCATAGACTCTCGCGTCCCTTCCCCGCAGCATACACAGCGAGCGCCTGCAGCAGGAGCAGGACAAGCCCGCACCGCCACCGCCGCCGTCTTCGACCGCGTCCCAGCCAACCCCCGACGACAAGAAGGGGCCGCAGGGGACGCAGTCGTCCTCTCTCCTCTCTTCGCCGGCCACACCGGGCCCCGGGGGGGCCCCTCCGGCCCCCCGGAGCAGCTTGGCCCGCAGGCTGGGACACGCGGCACCCGTGTCGAACAGGCTGGGCCCTAAGAGGGCTTCCTCGTCGGAGAGGGGTGGCCGCGAGTCGCCCCCGGGCTACATCCCGCTCAAGAGCGGCGGGGGCCGGAGGTCGGACGGGTGGTCGCGGGGGAACGGGCGTAGGCTGTCCAGGTCTAGGTCCAGGTCCAGATCGCGTTCCAGGTCGAAGACTAGGAGCCCGCCACAGCCGGGACCCAGGGACCGCAGGAAGAAGAGGCGTTCCAGGTGGGCTGTCTCCCTCTGTTGCTCTGGGTTGGGACAGTGCCACCTAGAAGACGAGACACGTGCATGACAAGCGTATCCGCCTTGGCGTCTCCGTGTGTGAACATATCTTTTGTGAGACGCCGATGCTGACGCGGTCTAGGTGGCGCTGCTTGGGGCCACCAGTGACGGCGTTTGGTGGAAGGCTCGTCTTCTAGGTGGCATCTGTTGGGAAGAAACCCCCTATAGGGCAATTTCACGCGACGTGCTTTTAGACGTCTTTATGCACGGAAACGGAGTTTTTCCGGCTCGCTTGCGTTTCTTTTTGTCGCAAGGGAGCGTCATCCCGTGCTCGATCTTCCTGCGTACCCTTCTCTATTTAAACTTGGGACAAGGCTGCGATCGAGAAGTCGACTCGTCGGCCGCCGTAAGATCCTGCCAAGTGCCGCCCGGGTGGCTTGGAAAGGAAAAGAGTCAGCGTAAACTCGAATTTATGCGACCCAAGTGCGTCCCCGATCGTACCCCCAGGTTGCGTCGTTGACTGAACCACGCGCTGGGTGCTTCAGTGTTTCACCGACGCCAAAAACGGCAACGACGACCATGCGGTTCCTTTGTTATCGTCGCACCAGCTGGAGATGCGTTCCAGACACCGTAGTTGCGAGCAAGGTGCGTGGCTCGCATCGGCGTCGCGGCGAACGACAGCTCACCGGCGTTTCCCTCCCTCGCCGACAGCTCTCTGGAGTCCAGCTTGAGCCCGGAGCCGGTGCGCAGCAGCGGCAAGAAGGCGCTGCACTCGAGCGTGTCGTACAGCGGGACCAACCCGAGCCATGGCTTGGGCAAGAAGGGCAAGTCTGCCCAGAACCGCAAGGCCAACAAGAAGCAGAAGAAGCAGCAGCAGATGTAAGTGGCACTCGGTCCTCCCGATCTCGGGATCCGACGGAGCAGTGCAGAGTTAGTCTTCGCTTGACGTGTGAGCGAAGTTGGAGTTTTGAACGCGAGTTGCCTGCACGAGCCCACGTGATCAGTAGCGAACCCCGAAAGCCGCAGCTTACTCTTGTGGCTTCTGCTACGCTCTCACGTAAAGTGAAACGTAGCACATGCAGCACAAGGTAGCGTTGCAGAGCCTAGATCCAGGGTTTTTGTCCCTTCCCCTGCCCATTATGATTTGAATCCATTATGATTTGAATGAATGCATGTTAGAAACCCCAGGCGAGCAGTCATACACTACTGGCTACATTTCTAGTCTACAACAGAGCCGTCCGATTTTCCCATGGGGCCGACTCACTTCCTGCTGTCTGTACATCCATACAGCTTCGCTTCACTATATCAATATCTCCTCTGTAGCAGTTTTTACCATAGGATATACCTTCACTAGGGCGAGCTGTGAGCAAAATACTTCATTGTCCACCGATGAAATCTTAGGCTGCTTGAAAGCGACGTAGCGAAAGCTTATTTCTGCATGCAGTCTACAGTTATGCGGGTTACAATTAATGGCAGCGAGTGAATGCCTGCTGTATTAACCAAAAGAAGCCAGGGACGTGATTGTTGCGCCAAAGTGCTTGCCCTGCTGCATTTCGACAAAATGTGATGAATGTAATGGCCCAGGACCCACAACACGGTCGGATCGTCACAGTGGGCTTCTTTGAATTTTCCGGACTTTCGGTTATCGCTTCAAATAATGCACTACTCGATTTCATCTCTGTATCATCTCCGTACTCGGAAGTCAAGAAATATCCTCATGTTCGTGGTCCGTTCTGGTGGGTTAGATAGCTTCGTTCAGCATGCTTCTCATTGCACACTGGTGCACCGCAGTGAAGCGAAGACAGCAGAGTACGCATTGCGATTCTTCGATTCATGTTTCGCCGTAGAGCAGCAAAGCGAGACATCACACACTCAAGGGTCCGAATATTTTCAATTACAGTCGCCGACCGATTTTTCGGACTTCGCAGGGATCGAAAAAAACATCCGAATAATAAGAACAGTGCGAAAAATCTGCCTTCATTATGTCTAAGCGGGCTTAAAAAGCCGTAAATAGTGCCTTGCTTCGGGTTACGCCTCAGTTTCCATTACAGCAACCTTCTATTAGCTTGAAAATTGCTCCCATCTTTTCTAGCGTTATGGTCGAGTAATTTCTACGCTTCTTAGAGACAGATCGCGATGGCGGAAGAACAGACGGGGCGTCGACGTCCAAGCCAGCATAGTCCGAAAACACGCTTCACCGAGATGAGATCGAGATGAGAGGCTCAAATCCGTGACTGCAATGGCGAATGAACAAAGCAAAATGGTAACAACAATGATGATAATGATTAGCAGCTAGAGAAAATAGCCGTACAGCGTCACGTAGCGGTAGGACTAGCAGCCAATATAAAATCCAAAATGGTCGCTTCTCGGTAGAGTTTCCCACTGTTCGCTCGTGACAATTTTGTTCAAAAAATGGAACTTTCGAACTTCAAGCTGTCTGAAGCATCGGTTGTGAATATGCACTATTTCTGTCGGGTAGGTCACGGTTCCTCCTTTAGGTTTGAGATATCGAACAAGTCCAAATTATCGGCGTCCAAAAAATCGGCCGGCGACTGTACATACAGCGGTGTTCTGATGATATTTGGTTGCAGTTCGAGATTCCGCAAGGATACTTGCATAATACGGGAAAATTTATATGGACCTCTCTATAAGCTCATTTTTTTATGTGTTTCTGGTTTAGTTATTACCTTTCATATGTTCCATCTGTGCACTGACAGGGTAAATTAATGGCTGTGAATTAAAACTCAATTAGCTGGAGGTGTGGATGGAAACTTGAAAATGAGCTTAATGATTTTAACAGGTTTAATACAGTGGAACCCCGTTGTAGTAACTCTGCATGTAGTAAAACTCCGGTTATAGTAAAAGGAAGCACCAGTCCCGACGCCGAAAGGCCGACGAGTGGCCAGAATGGAGGAAGCGCTCGCCCGATTCCTCCCTTCTGTGGGGAGTACTAACTCAGAGACCCGCTCCCGTGGGGGGAAGAGGAGAGAGGGAATGTAGAGCGGGTAACTGTGAATCCGGTTTTGTTCCCGGCAGAAGACTCTGTGGGCCGCCCTTAAACATTTCTTCCCCTCTCGCCCGGCAGCCCCCAGTTCCAGGTGGAGGAGGACATGGTGACGAGCGAGAAGCTGCAGAAGCGGGCGGCCCGCTTCCAGTCGGAGATCTCGTCGGGGCGCAAGAAGCGTCCCTTCTCGCTGGTGCTGACCATCAACAGCGGACCCCTGCTGGATGCCGGAGAGGCCGACCTGGACTGGGAGTCCTTCCCCATCGTGGGCACTTGCAGGGACCTCGAGAAGCAGTACCTGCGCCTCACCTCGGTCAGTCTGCCCCTACCCTCCCTTGTACCGAGCAGTTTGGTCGGTGTCTCGAAGCGACGGCCTCGTGTGGAAGCCTGCGGGGACCTCGCTTCCTCCCGTTCGTGTCGGTCGCACCGTAGCGAGGCCGTGGGTGTCGGCAGCGGAGCCGTGTTTGTTTGATGTCTAGGGAAGCGAAGTTTCGCGGGACATCAAAATCTCTGCCACGTTGCGGTGTCACTCGACATCGCAACTTGGCAAAGAGCGAATGCGACAGCCCCTTTGGCAAGTCAGTAACTGACCAGAGCATGTGGCAGCTTTGCGCGGGAGCGGTGCACTCCGCGTGACTCCCTCCTTATTGGCTCGCTGGGTTTGTAGGTTTCGCTGTTTTCCAACTTGGGGGGAACGGAGCACGCCTTGGCTCCCACGGTGCTGTTGCCTCAAAGAATGTGGAAGAAGGGCCACTGCGACGTTCCTTCTTCGTTTACATTCTTCGAGTTGTTCGTGTCCATCGTGTATTTCGTTAGGTACCTTGCAACTTCCGTCGTTAAACAAATCTCCGCCCAACCGCAGGCTCCCGACCCCTCGACGATCCGCCCCGTGGAGGTGCTGCGTCGCTCCCTGGACCTGGTGAAGGAGCAGTGGCTGCTCAAGCAGGACTACCACTACGCCTGCGACCAGCTCAAGTCCATACGCCAGGACCTCACGGTGGGTGCTGGGACGGGCAGCCAGCGCGTGCTCCGAAAAGCCCCAAGTTGTCGCTACGCTTTGTTGGCCAGCGGGGCTACCTCATTTTCTTCAATGATGGCCGCGCCATTTGTGAACAACATCCGCGCGTTAGCTTTCCCGCCGAGCTCGCATCCAGCAAATTGTTCGGATCATTTCGATGTCCACTCATGAACCAATTTATTCTGAAAAGCGCCCGACGATATTCTCGCATTTTGAACTTTTCGCCTACACCGTGGCGTGCCACCGGGTAGGATGTTTTCGTTAGCGTAGTTCCACTGTTTCGTTGTTAGGAGCTGCCTGGTGCATGCTGAAAGTGACCTTTCCCAGAATTCCTTTGACGTCGAAAATGCGTAATGCGCGGAGGCCTACATGTTTTACCGCTCTCGGAACTAACGGGGAAATGTGAAGATTGACATTGTATGAAAACATTTCGTTGAACGTGAATGTCTTCCCTGGCCAACACCTCTCGCGTTTGCAGCGGCAGTATTTTCTAGCAACGAGGAATTTCAAGAAGGCAGCGGGCACGGGGTCGTGCGTTGATTAATTGCAGGAGATCCAATGAAGGGTTCCCCGTTTCCTCTAGATTTTATTTCATCATTATTTAATTTGTTCCTTGAAAAATATTTGCTTGGCTATTTCTATGCTTTCCACGGTACACCAGAAACAAGTATCGAAACTATGCTTCCTTTCCCCCGAGCGGATGTGAGCCGTGCACTGGCAAGGGTGCGGTTGATGCACTGACTGAACCGGTGCCGTGGCCCTCCTCTCTTGCACGCAGGTTCAGTGTGTCCGAGACGCCTTCACCGTGCAGGTCTACGAGACTCACGCCAGGATCGCACTCGAAAAGGTGGGTGCAAGTTTTTTTTTGTTGTTTTTTACAGCCTAATCGTAACTTCTTGTCTACACTGTCACAATAAAGTCACATGCTCGCGCAGCAGTGCAACGCTAATTATGCTAGCCTTCAGAACATCACGCACACAAGCTGCAACGGGCTCACCTTGTTTGTACGATGGCGTGGACTTCTGGCACTTTTTATCTTCTCTGTGCCTTTGTTGGGCGACTGGTTTCACCTTTCCGAGGTCCCCTTCCTCCTTGGGAAAAAAAGAGACCGGTGTATTGCGTTTTCTGCGTCCCGCCAGTGACCTCGGTGCCGCCCTCTTCCGTCAGGGGGACCACGAAGAGTTCAACCAGTGCCAGACGCAGCTCAAGACGCTCTACCTGGAGGTGGAGGCCGGCAACCGGCTGGAGTTCACGGGGTACCGGATCCTCTACAACGTCTTTGCCCGCAACACCCTGGGTGAGTTGTGCGGCAGGGAGGGACGGCGAGGGAAGGCTTTGGCAACTTTCGGAACCTTGGCAGAGTAGCGTCCCTTTTCAAAACCCCATTGAGGAGCATTGGTGGTCGCCATTTCTCGGGCACGAAGCTTGTGATTGGATTCGAGTACCCGGTAAATGGTGCACACTTTTAAAAAGGGTCTGTTACAGTGATTAGCTGGGCGTAGTGACCGAAGTCGGTATCCCGCCGTGGGACGCATACCGGCCCTGGGTTTCTGGTGTTGGTCCAAGGGGCGGGCTTCCCATTTCGCCCTACTTGGGCAGGGTCGTCGTCTTCGTGTTGGGACTTTGGATTCTGCACGTATTGACTCCCCTTTGTCTTTGGTTTGATTGTGTGGTGTGGATAAAAGTGTATTTTGTTGCTCTGTTTGCGAAAAGTGTTGGACATGCTTAAAGTTGTTGACTAGGGCGGGATTTCAATGAGAAAATTTTGTATTAACCTTATGCCCCTGGAGGCAGAATCACATATTGCCGTTTACTTACATTGGACCATGTTAAGCGAGCTTAAGTCTGCTTACGCCGTGAGCTACCGGGACATAGTGCTTTGTATGAAGCGTGGCAAGCAGTTCAACAAGTGGCTTTGCCTGCGGCATACACGGTATGGTGTCCCGGTGTCTTGAACCTGCAGGGGGCATCTGCTTTAGTAGGTTTTTGGTGGGCGGCGTCGCCACAGACCCTGAGCCATGTGGGTGCTTACCCACCCATGTCTGGCTGTGCGTGGCTTTCCCATGTCCGGGGAAAAGGGCATCCTGGTGGTTGAGTTGAACCCGGTGCAGGTTTGGACCCTTTGGCCCCATCTTCCCGGGGGAGGCAATAACCGCTTTGGTCCCCGCTTCTCGTAGACGAGTGTCCTGGCTTGGCCCGACCAGAATGATTCAATCAGTCGCCTTTCTTCTCCTCTCCTATCTTTAAGTTCCTGCTTCTCCTCCTCTCCTATTTCACCACCTTTGGCGGCAAGGGGTAACCTTGGGTGGCGACTGAACTCTCTTGTTCCACACTTGGGTATAGCATTTTGGTAGCACTGGCAGGGTGACAGAGACAAGCTAGACTGGTTATGTAAAGTTACCTATCCCTTTGTTGGACTCCGTGGTGCACTACAAATGCAGAAGTTTGCCCTTGATGTCGGTTCTAAACAAATGACACCTAAGTCTCACGAGTTGTGAATGCGAAAGCATGAGCCCAGAACCACTTCCGATAAAGTTTAAGCAAGGTTGGAAACGGCTTGTTCAAGAGCTGTACGATTTTTAAAATGAAAGAATACTGCCTCCGACTTTTAAAATTTGTGTGCTGGAGGTCGTTCTACCAGCTTTAATGTCTCTTGCACCTCCGCCTCTTTCTTTCCTCCGCGCTGCAGAGTTGAAGACGATCCTGGCAAACCTGAGTGCCTTGGAGAAGGCGGACGCGGTGGTGAGCCACGCGCTGGCGGTGTGCCATGCTTGGAGCCTGGGTAACTATGCGAGGTTTTTCAAGCTGTACCAGAGCCCGCCCAAGATGTCCGGCTACCTCATGGACTGGTGCGTGTCCAGGGAGCGCAAGGCGGCCCTGCGCGCCATGGTCCGGGCGTACGTATGCCTCCCACCATTGCCTCTTCATCGTAGCAGCGTACTGCTTGTTTCGGGAAGGGGGGGGAGGGAGGGCGGGATTTGTTTGGCCGCGCGAGGTCAACGTTAACTATGCCACGTGTATAAGAGAAAGGATAACTTCTGTTTTTTATTTAAATTTAAACTGCTTATTGCCGAACACTCAGTTTCTGTCGAAACTTTGGTTTGGAACGGATGCCGAAGTGCTTGCCTGATCTGATTCAAAAGTTTCGGGCAATTTTTGGAAATTTTCAACGTGGAAGTGACTTTTATTTTTGGTGGTAGACACCATTCATTCTTACATACTGTAAGCGACTTCATTTTTGTGAATTTTGAAACTTAAAGTATGTTGCGTAAAATTGGTCTCGCGGTTATCTGCTCATGGTAACGAATACAGTGGAATCTCGTTAGTTCAAACTCTCTTAATTCAAACTAACATGCAGGTCTTGTCCCGTGTGTTTCTAGGATGGAAACTCCCTGTAATTCAAACTTTGCATTATTTAAACACAGTTCTGGTCCCCCTCTGATGCAAATTAATGAGATTTCGGTGCACACAACTCATCAGTACAGGTAGCAAGACATTTCCGAATCCACAATTTCCAAAGTTTGCGAAGTATGGAGCCCGTAAAAATGAAGTTGTTTACAGTTTTCGCGGGTTTCTTTGTCCACTGTTTTCTCCTAGAGAATATTCGTGAATCGCTTAGAACTTGGAAAAGGAAACAACGGCAAGTTCCGAAACTTTGGCTTCTCATACCCACCGCTGGCACTGCATTTGGACAAAGTCCAAGCGTTCGGCACTGCGCAGGTTGTTTTCCAAACACCCGGTGCTTAAGTCTGCCACAACTTGGCAATGGGCAAACGTGACTGCCCTTTGCGGGAGAAAGCGCCGCCCCGATAAGCTGTTGCGTGCCTCGCTCTGGTGCATTTATTGGCCCGCCGGTGCCGTGGCGTTTGCCATTTGCCAAGCCGTGGTCGAGTTGGCACCCGCTAGGCTGATAGACGCCCGTCCGGTTCCTACTCTTTCGTCCAGTGTGCTCGCATCGTGACGGTGCCAACCCGGCAATTGGGTCCAACTCCGACGCATTGATTGAATGGTGGCACAGCACTCCTGTCCAACCAGAGTCCATGCTCGCGCGTAGTGTAAGTGCGTCGGGATTCGAGTGTATGCAGTTCTTCCTAGTTCAGTTAGTCAGGTTAGACAGGCTCTTCATTGCAACGAGAACCGCTTCGTTGGAGACCCCGTGTTCAGGGAAATCAGTCTCTCTGGAAAAGGGCGCAGCTGTACAAACTCCCCTTACCACAGTTTTTCTGGGCCTCAGTTGCCTGCATCAGTGTTACATTTGTGCTTCAACCCTGCGTAACTGTGCACTTGTATTGGGCTATGAGTACTACAAGCATGCTCAGACTGTTTTTCTTTGACCATATCTTTACTGTAACTGTATCATCCTTATATTACTATTGTAATATCCCGGGAGATAGCCTGCCTAAAGTTAGGCAACTTTCGGTATGCAATCGCGAAAAGCTGAAAGAATGCTATTTTTAGGCAATGTGTTTCCACCAAACTTGTTATTGCGTCGAGGGGCAAAGAGGCGAGGGTGACTGTACTTCTCGGTCAACAATGTTCGCCTAAATCCGGCCATAGCTAAATAGCTGCATTTACGCCAAGGCCGTCATTGATCCAAACACTACTATAGTACTAAAAAGGGCCGTCTTCGGTGTTTAAACGAACAAGATAGGAAATCGACCCAAAACTAAGGGTGGGGCGTATCTCTGAGAGTATTACAGCATCTGTCATAGTTCACAACTTCTGCAGTTTACAAACTACCTCATTTGCACAAATGCTGCTGCTCTAGTGTGGCCGGCTTACCAACAAGAGGTTCTCATTGCATCTTCGAGTGGTGTTAGTTGAATATGGATTAGACCAGTCGCACTTAATTCTAAACGTGAAGCTGGCCTCGAAATGTAAGGAAAGTGCTCTGGAGTCCGGGTTTTTTTTTTTTTTGGTCGAACTTGCTGATGGACTTAGATTGCAAAGCTTCCTTCTAGAAAGTATAGGGTATTACATTCTCACAGAAACGCTCGCTGAATGCATCGTTGTTTAAATCTTGCTGATTTTGCCATTTGTAGTTCATGGTCCTTATGATGTTTGTGCGTGGTCATGTGGCATGGGTTGATACTTTATCGAATAGAATTGCCGAGGGCCATGTTGCCCTTGGGGTGAAAGGGGTGGGTGTTCTTGACACCTTAGACAGTGTGCTGCCCCCTTTTTGACACCTTGCATGTGGTGTGGATGAGGCAAAAATGCTCTCACTCGGTCATTGTATTGGGTGTAAGCTGTATCAGGCTAGCATATTTGCAACTAACCTGAACTTTAGAGCTGGGTTGACGTTCATTGCATGCAGTGCTGAGCCTGTCTAAGAGCCTCTTTAACTTTTCTGTATACCTAAATTGGTCAACACCGCCTGTTCAAGGACCTTGTGATAAGCAGCTGACTTCAGCTGGTTGCCTTCAGCATCTGGACAGGCGTTGCGCTTTCGACACTGATAGCATGTCTCATATTTGTGCATTTTCGGCCACTTAGAACAGTTCTGTTCACCCTAAACTATGGTTTTCTAGAAACTCGTTTAGAAACATACCATTAAAGTCTGGTCTTGCTGCATATGAGAAATGCAGTCTTGCAACGCAGTTGTTAGACAATCTTGCTGATGGATCTTATTTCTTGTGATCCTTAGTGTGAGCATTGGGTTTGTAGCATTGGTTTTTGTATGGCTTGAATTTGGGGGATTCAGAAGCCTAAAAAGGTTCGGATAGGGTTTCTAGATTTTGTGCTTGCACGGCTGGGCATATCTCAATCTTTTGGGGTTGGTTCATTCTGGGGCTAAGAAGTCAAGGGCGTTACGGGTTATAGTTATGCTTAAGAGTGCTTGCGCATCTTTCAGCCACAGCTAAGGTGAGTATTGCCACCCTGCTCTAGCTGGCTGGGGGTAGCGCTAGGTGTTGGTGTGGGGTGCGAGTGCCCTCTCCTAACCCGTGGCGTCCGTCTGTTGTAGATACCGGCCAGTTTTGCCCGTAGCGTATATTGAGCGTGCGTTGGGCTTCGCCGGCCGCGAGGAGGTGCTCGCGTTCCTGGCCGAGCTTAGCGTCACCCTGCTGGACGAAGACGGGGAGCAGGCCAGCGTCGACTGCAAAGAGTCCCTCGCGGCGGTGCTCGCCAGCTAAGGGGCGCTCTCTCCTCCTTCCTTGGCAAGCGCGTGCTCGCAAGGCTACCATTCTCCGGTCTTGCGTTCCCTTCCTCCCTCCCCGCCCTAACCTTCTGTCGGAGCTCGTTTCCCGGAAGGAGATCTGCCATGGGGTGGTAGGCCGGCCTCCTCCCCAAGGCGGCATCCTCTCGCTCTATCCACCACTGCCAAAGGAGCGACCTCACACGGGTTGCAGCGGAAGAAAGAAGACCACCGTCGGGGAAAGGGGTGCCCTTGGACTTTGGTGCGTGATTGGCAAGGGGTCATCAAGAGGAAGGGGTTACGCCCGTCACGGGCTCTCTGGCTCTGTCGGCTAGAGGCCGGCGGCCCGTGAAACCAGCGAGGGTTCCAGTTCGTCGGGTGCCAGTTTCATTGGCCACCAGTCCTGTCTGGTGCCAGTTTCTTTGGCCACCAGTCCCGTCGGGTGCCGGTTGTGGCTGCCACCTGTTTCATCGGGCTGGTGTCATCCGCTACCAGTCTCGTCAGGGGGTGGGGGGGGGGGGCCGGTTTCATCGGGCACCAGTTGCACCGGGTGCTGGTTGCGGCCATCACCAGCTTCGCCAGGCTGGTGTTGTGTTCTACCGATCGCGTCGGGAGGGGCTGGTTTCGTCGGCCACCAGCTTCGTCGGGCTGGTGTCTTCTGCTACCGGTTTCGTCGGGAGGCGGTTTCATCAGGTGCCGGTTCATCAGCCGACAGTTTCGTCGGGCTGGTGTCACCTGGTACCAGTTTCATCCGCTGCCAGTTTCCTCGGGCCAGTGTCTTCAGCGGCCAGTTTCATCGGGGCCAGGTTGGCTCGTGGCAAGTTCGTCTGGATCCCGATTGGACTCTGGTTCATCGTCATCTCAAGAGGGGGGATGGGAAAGCGTAGTAGGGTTCCTGAGGTGCACGGTGTGGGAGCACCGGTGGCTCGTCGGCGCTGCCTTGCCCCAAGAGGGCACAAGGCGGCTGTGGCATGGCTTGCCACACTGCTACTCCTAGTCTCTCTGCCACGCTACAAGGGGCTTGTTTTGAAGTTTGCCCTGAAGACCAGTCGCATCTGGAATTTCCTGCGGGCCTCAAGGTTCCTGTCCAGGTTTGACGCGACAGCAGGGTCCATTGCAGTGTTCCGGCCCAGGAGCATCCTTTCATCTTCAAGGTCCCACAAAACAGGAGAAAAGATCACATTTGGCTGCAGCAGTTAACCAGAAGCACGTCAGATCTTCCAGGGATGTGGTTGCTGTCTTCCAGAGCGAGGTCTCCAGAGGAGGCAAGAGGTTCCAGGACAAGACGAAGACCGTTCCGAAGACACTGCTGCGGTTCACTAAACCGGCATCAGTGAGTAACGTCAACAGAAAGGTAATATGGATTGTTTGTCGATGTGCCAAGAGTGTCGTCATCCGATGGCCTGCATCTGCAGCAGTGAGTTCCACAGACTTTTCCAAAGAAGTGTCTCACCTGCAGTGCCAAGTCAGCAAAATGGTGAGAAGGTTGCAGGATCAGATGCATTTCGACCAGTCGTTGATGGGATACAAAGTTGTGATCTGGACAGATTTAATTGGGACAATGCAGCTTTGCCTTCCCTGTAAATTATGTTGTATATAGAAGTTGTACATAAAATCTGTACATACATCATGTACATGTGCTTGTAACAAAATAAAAAAAAGCCTTGTGGTGACTGTTCTCTCGTTCGCTTCAATTTTTTTTTTAATTGCAGTTTGCAAATTTTGACAGAATTGCTGCTTCCTTTACACAAATGCACAATCTATTAGAACTTTTTTTTTTCTTCCTTTTTTTCCATGTTTGGCATTTAATAGGTAAACTTACATATTCAGGAACAATGTTGCACTGTCGTCCCTTAAATCCCTGAACCTACCGAGACATGCTTTCGTTTTTCAGTGGCTTTATTACAATGGGAACTTTTATTTGCATCCAGCTTGTTGACTAGGGAAGGGTGGCTGCTCATCAGCCATAGCAAACATGCGTTCTTGCGGGTTGTCTAGCAGGGACCTGGAAGTGGGCACATCCACCTCCATAGTGCCTTTGAGTCTCCTTGCGACACATATCTGCAACAGAATTTATAACTGGTGATGGCACCTTTTGTCCTGTTTTATGCACTAAATTCTAGAAAGTTTGTCTAGTAGAGGGTGATTCTACGAGAGATCAAACCTGCAGGTCCACTCAACATGTTTTAATTTTTTTTTTTTTATATACACAAATGAATCACACGGAACTGAACTTTTTTTTTTTTCTCAAAAACATGTTTTCACCACGAGAAAAAAATTGTTTTCAAGATTGCGCGACGGTCTTGCTTTTACCACGGACTGCATTAGTTGCCACCTTTGCTGTCCTGGTGAAGGCAGGCAAAGAATGGTAGGCCAAAAATGTTTCCTGTTTCATGTAACAGCAAAGTTGAACCGCATGCAATTATGTGCTTTATGAATTAAAAATATATATAAAAAATTCATAACTTTAACCAGGCCTTCTACCTCAAGAAGTATGGCATTAACGACTTCGAAAACTACATAATATAGGCCAGGGAATCTAAATTATTCCTGCAAAATACGAACTTCCGATAAAAGTATAAACATAGAAAAAATAATTTGAAAAGAACATTTAAAAAAACCTATATTGAAAAAAAAAAAAAAGGTCTCGATTTACAAAAACACGGGTACAACTCTTAGGCCAAGTAAAAGGAAAGTACAAAAACATGTTGCATCATTTGCTTGGTACCAAAGTAATTCTAAGTGGCGATTGCCAAGCGTCTTGACTCCGACGTTTTTCGCTCCACCCCGCTTTTTTTTTTTTTTTTTTGCCACAAATAAGAAATTTGTGAAATTTGTTTTGTAGCTTGCTGTTAAAAAAAAAAAAAAAAAAAACATTTTTTTTTTTTTTTTTTTTTTTTGGTTTACGGGCATTTATGAGAGTTGACGCTCCTTGATCGCCCTTGGACTTCGCATGTCTCGTTTATTAAAACTAGGGAATACAAGAACGACGCCTCGGGTACAAGATTACGTTTAGGTTACGGGGAAGCCTAGGAGGGGGTCGCTGTCGGGAGCTAGAAAGATACCTGAGCTCACGTTTGCCGCGGGGAAAACGTACACACACCCCTTGGCTCCGCAGTAACATAAGCGCCCCTAACCCTTGTACCCGAGGCGTCCTGCCTCTATTCTCTGCAGTTCTAATAAACGAAACTCGAGCAGACTTCAGTTAACTCCCGCACGAAAAATGTAACAACGACCTAAATATGACAGCTCGTCAACGCCTCCCCTTGAAGAACACACGGTCTGTCCCAAAACTTCCCGGAATGATGTTTTGTGGTCGGCAACGCCGCCTGGCGGGGTGGGGCTTCAGGTGGAGAAGTTAGTGGGGGATATAAGCTTCGAAACGAGACCGGTCTCAGTTGTCTGCTATCAGTTGCTGAGGCAGGTCACGCTCCGCGCAGAGGCATCTACAGCACCCTCGTCGAGAAAAAAAATGGACGAGTTTTTGGAGCAACGTTATGCAATCAAGTTTTGTGTGCAACTATACTCTGTTTCACACCTAGCGTACAACGCTGTCAAAGCTACTGGCGCGAGCATGGAGCGTGATCTCGTTGATCATTTGCACGCGCGCACGAGCGAACGACACCATAGACAAAGCCACGCGCTCGCGCCAGTAGCTCTTACAGCGTTGCACACTAAGTATGAAACGGAGTATAGGTGAAAACGGGGCGGAGACGCTCGAAATGCTTCGGAAAGCCTACGGCGACGACGCGATGAAAAAAAGCCAAACTTTCATGTGGCACAAGAGGTTCCGGTAAGGTCGGGAGTCCGTCAACGACGACGACCGCTCGGGACGCCCGTCGGCATCACAAACGGATGACTCTGTGCAAAAAGTGCGTCACGTTTTGGACAAGGACCGGCGATTAAGCGTTCGAATGGTCGCAGATGAGTGTGGAATACCCAAAACAATCGTTCATCGCATTTTAACAGAGGATCTCCAAATGAGGAAAGTCTGCGCGAAAATGGTGCCAAAGGTCCTGACGAGTGAGATGAAGGAAGAGCGTTTGTTGAAGTGTCAGGAATTGCACGAACGCTTCGAAACAGACCCAGAATTTTGGACAGAGTGATCACTGGGGATGAGACGTGGATTTTCGGGTACGATCCCGAATCAAAGCGTCAGAGCAGCGAGTGGCACACCACGGAGTCTCCTCGCCCGAAAAAAGCAAGGATGAGCAAATCGTGAATCAAGGCAATGCTAATTGTGTTTTTTGACAGAAAAGGTGTGGTTCACAGTGAATTCGTGCCACAGGGACAAACAGTCAACAAGGAGTTTTACTGTGAAGTGCTCAAACGGTTGCGAAACAGGGTTCGACGAGTCCGAAAAGAAATTTGCGACAACTGGATCTTGCACCATGACAATGCGTCAAGCCACACCGCGCTCATTGTCTCCGAGTTGCTGGCCAAAATGTGTGTGCCAACGCTGCCCCAGCCACCGTACAGCCTCGATCTGGCACCACCGGACTTCTTTTTATTCCCAAGAATCAAAAGAACCCTGAAAGGAACTCGGCAGGGGACGCTGGAGCAGCGCTGGAGACGGTAAAAGCAGCTGCGACGACCTCACTGAAGGAGGTTCCTGTTGACGGCTTCCAGGGCGCCTTCAGTGATTGGGTTCAGCGTTGGCAACAGTGCATCGAAGCAGGGGGAGATTACTTTGAAAAGTTCTGAAAAGATTGTAAACTGATATTGAATAGATGATTTATAAAAAAAAACAATTCCGGGAACTTTTGGGACAGACCCTGTATTTGGAGAATCCACAACTCTGGGTGCATCGAGGTGGATTACTGCCACAGTTCAGCTAGACACTTCGAATACGCGGTGACAGAGTTGGTGTCGGCGCGTTAGTGATGTCATCTGGACGTTTGTGCGTGTCTGCCCAGGAAAGGCACAGATGCAGAGCTTCACTACACGTGAACTGACTGCCTGGTACGTGGCCACTGGTGTTGGTCGTCAGCGGGCGAACTCCTCGGTCGCAAGAGCATTGCGAAACCTTTCGGCTTCAGATGGTTTGGTGGCGCAGACGAAGCAACGAGAGAGGCGACAGGCGTCGCCGTTGTGCACCCAATGCACGCAGCACATAGCTCACTCAGATTTTTTTGCGCCGATTTTCTCCGCGTTCACAAAAACCTTCCAACAAATTTTCAGTGTCAAGCGTCTAGATGTTGAATTACTGCGGACGCTACATGCTACCAGGATCTGGTAATTTGCAAGCGCGAAGTAGCTCCCGCTCTGAACTGTATCCCGTAATTGCTGTCGTTTGTGGCAAATGAAGAGTCATGCCGAAATAGCCTTTAATCGCGTATGAAATGCAATGCGAGCCGCCCTGGCCGCCTGCTTCATACAGCTACAGCCTATCCAAGGATGGATGGATGAATACGGCTGAGCCCTTTGGATCGGGCGGTAGCTTACGCCACCTAGCCATTTTGTTTTACCAACATATTGTTGGTAAAACATTTTGTTTTATCCAACATATGCTTCAGTGGCGCCCTCTCGAGCCGTCGACACAGAGTGCGGCAGCCGTGAGCGCTCGCTGAGCTCATTACCCCCCTAGGCCACTCAAGCCAGAACCAACGACGTCATGAAGGAGGCAATTGGTGCGCATGACATGTCACGTGTGAGATGGATAGTTGAATGTAGAAGGATTTCTTGCAGGCTTGCGTGCGCTCCGTCCGGTAGGTTTTAACGACTAGACGAAGGCTAGCTACGGTCACGTGATGTGGTCACGTTGGCATGAAAAGTGATGAGTAAGGAGGAAAATGAGAAAGTCGAGGCGTCTAAGGTCATAGAGGCGTCAAGGGAGCATGGCTTGTGGAGGCTACGCGGCTGACGTCATGCCCTCTCCTACCCTTCTAATCTTGCTTGACGCAGCCTTCCTCGCTTCCTTCTCAGGGTTGCCAGACAAGCAGCAACGTTCAAGATGGCGGAATTTACCATTTTTCGCGTTAAAGCGCAACTCCGGCCAAAACTCAAAATGAAATAAATTACCGGTATCGCTGTAGTGACACAAAATACGACCCCAGCCAAAATTTCACGTCCGTGGGACGCCGCATTCTCAACTAATGCCGATAATTAAAATGCGACCCGCCGCGAGCAGCTGCTCCTTAGCGGGCGGCCAGAGGGTCACTCATGATCTGCAGTTAGGACGAAGTTGACAGTTGTGTGTTGTTGTGTTTGTTGTGAATTTTAAAATTGCTGTATCTTTGTATATTTATTCTGTTTATTTTCCTGTGTCTCCTCCGAGTGCTGTAAAAAAGGGGCTGGAGCCTCGTCAGAAGACAACTCGTCTTCTTTTGCCCCAGCCCCCCAGACCCTTTTCTGTGTCTGAAAATAAAGATACATACATAAAGCAACATTGGGCCGCGACGTCAGCATCGTTCTCTTTTTTTTTTCCGGTCCTGGCGTTGCGCGGAGCGCGCTTCTTTTAGCCGCTACTTCGGCTTGTGGTTGGCGTGTTTAGCCGTTGCTTTTATCTGTAGCTCGTGTATCTTCGGTATAGCCTTTTGTTTGCTTCTGAGGATTCCAAGACAACTCCCAAGACTGCCCAGCTGTTCCTCGAAAGATACCGAGTACAACTTGTAGCGCTGTGAGCTGCTCAAACAACCCGCTGCACAACCCGGAGGTGCCTTTTCACGAGTTTC